GTAACATGTTCATGTTTAACTGAAAAGTAGCAATTGTAAACTTTCAAATTAAATGTTATATTGGAAATGACACAATTTATTCTAAATAATCAAAAGCAACAGAACATTGCTGTACACCGCAAATGATCTGGGGGTTTTTATCTAGCGCAAGTGATTATTCCATAAAATAGAAATATATTGCCAAAATTATCCCTGTTGAAAAGACTGCCAAAAATACAACTGCGTCGTATCATATTTTATTTTCAACAGCGTCGTATCATTTCGTAAAAATCATTATTTTCTAAGAAAACAAGCAATTATCATAGTATTGCAAGCAATCCATAAGTCCCCTACCGGTTAGAACCCCATCAACATTCTGAAGGGCCATTCACAAATGTTTCAATTTTTCTCTATTTTAAGTAAATTTGTTGGAAAAGTTCTTTAAAAGTGATCACATGAAACAGTTTTTTATGAACATACAGACAGACGGTACTGAAGGACACTCTAAAGTTAATATTTGAAACATCCCTGTTACCAAAATACAACATTTTAAAAGCAAAATTCTTAAACAGGAGATAACTCTTGAATTAAAGATGCAATTTCATAAAAAATTTCAGCTCTTTTTGACTAATCACAAATATTGTTATATTTGCCATGTTTCAAGCCTATTTGTTGCCAAGGCAACTGATATTTTTTCAAAATAGGAAGAACAGATAAGACATGCATAATCTCAAGACTGCCATCTACCCATAAGTCAAATTTCATGAAAATATTTCCAGTACTTTTTGAGTTATCACTGGATTCAGTTTATGTGTAAAATTTGCCATATTTTCAGTCTATGTGTTGCCATAGCAACCAGAATTTTCAACATAGGAAGAAAAGAAAAAGACGTGCATAATCTCAAGACTGCCATCTACCCATATGTCAAGTTTCATAAAATATTTCCAGTACTTTTTGCTTTATCACTGGATCCAGTTTATGTGTAAAATTTGCCATATTTTCAGCCTATTTGTTTGCCATAGCAACCAGAATTTTCAACATAGGAAGAAAAGAAAAAGACGTGCATAATCTCAAGACTGCCATCTACCCATATGTCAAGTTTCATAAAATATTTCCAATACTTTTTGCGTTATCACTGGATCCAGTTTATGTGTGTAAAATTTGCCATATTTTCAGCCTATTTGTTGCCATAGCAACCAGAATTTTCAACATAGGAAGAAAAGAAAAAGACGTGCATAATCTACATACTGCCATCTATCCATATACCAAGTTTCATAAAAATATTTTCAGTACTTTTCAAGTTATCGCGGGATCCAGTTTTGTGGACGGACGGACTGACAGACGGACGGACAGACGGACGGACGGACAGAGGGTAAACCTAAAGTCCTCTCCGGTAAACCGGTAGGGGACTAATAAACATCTCTTTTTAATGAAATTTTAGTAAATGATGCAAAATTATATTTCGAAGTTTATGGTGAACTCTGAAACAAATAAATAATTGATTTGAAGGAAAAAACGATAGATAAAGCAATATGAACTGCGTCGTATCCACACATTTTCATAAAAATTCTGCTCCGCTTCGAGATGCAAGTTCGCTATAACTTTTGTTTTACAAAATAGTTGTGCAAGCAACATATACCGAACGAAGCGGAAAGTAGTGTAGCGTGTTAATAGATATATCTGGTTTTCAGTCATTTCCAACAAAAAAAGTTATAAACAAAAACATACGTTTTTCGTTCCAAGATGGCGGCGTTTGTTTACATTTTGTAGGATACGACGCAGTTTTGATTCCCAGCCCTGGTTACATAAATCCTGCATTATTTCTTTTCAAAAAGGAAAATATGTCGATTTGTTTGCAAGTACGTACAGACAAACCAAAGTACGTCCAACATCATCACTGTATCCTCTCACTTATGAAGTGGGTTTCTTAAAACCCATCTAGTGCAAAAACAAACTCTGTAAAAGCAAGTTTATCATATGGCAAGGCCGATTTTGACCAAAGTACTACTAGTAACTAAACTTAGAATGGGACCATTATGCTGTATTGAAATTGATCATCTAAAGTTCTTTGGGTTTCTGACAACAAAAAATCAAAATGGCTTCTGCGTGAGCAGATGTTTAATACAGGGGCCATTCAGGAGTAAATTTTGACCCCAAGGCCATTATCTGATGAAACTCGAGACAGGTCCACTAGACATAATTTTTACGGAATATCTAGGCTTTAAGCAATCACTTTCTGAAATTTCCTCCTAATTATCACTTAAAATTCTAGTATTTGGCAATATTAGTAATAGGCATGCAATTAACCAGGACCATTTGATTTAAGGAGAACTTCATGAAAGCAGATTTCATTATATCTGACCCTATGGTATGAAAAAAGATCGACAGCCAGAGTGATGTATAAATATAAGCGTTGCTTGGCGGATGAATATTGAAATACCATTCATAGTCACCTATGCGTAGGCTCTAGATCTGTGATTATAAGGTACTTGTATTAGTATTTTTATTCTTAGGAAGATCTAGTCCTATAACATAAGACCTTTCCTTTATCTCTATGTACACTCCAACATCTAATCGACTCCTTCGCAAGTTCATTTAGCAAAACGCGCAGCGATTTAGAAGCGAGACATATCTATTCATCCAGGATTGATAGACTTGTTGACCAGACACAAACATCAGTGTATTTTTATAAATATTTATATCATGACTTGTCATGTACTGACTCAATCAAACAGTCTGCAATTTTCATGTAATTTTGCTGTTTAAGGATCACTTTTTTCCAGATATTCATACATCACAACAGCAGGTGTCAAATGGTGTGTGGCAACAGTAAAAAGCTGCCCCGTACTTCACTTCAGTGTTGTTATATTTTTCTCGTTCTTAAGGATCATAAGAGTCCAACCCTTTTAAGTGTCGAGAATTTAGTACCGCTCAAGCCCGTGCTAGGGAGCGTGAGGGATGTTGCACTTTTTCATTATCCCTCATGTACAGACTAAATAAAAACGAGTATGAAATTTTAAATTTTGTGAATTTTGTTTTTAAATGTTCCTTGGGATCCTTTTTCCAATTTTTTGATCTACAAGTTTAAAAATTCCCTTTTTGAGGTAAAAACCCCAATTCTTGTGCATAACACATTTTTATCATGTCAAACACATTTATGCATGGTGAGTTTTAAATACATCAAGGAATGACGGAGTTGACTCAACATAAGCACCAGTGTACTTTTACAAAAATTCATATCATAACATTTGATCTACAAGTGTGATCTTGACATGTGAGGAAGAGACCCAATTCTTGTAATGACACATTGTCCAACATATCTATACATAATATTTTTCAAATCCTAGATCTTGCAATAAGACTTTGCCCTAAATTGCAACACATTTATACAAAATTATTTTAAAATCCATCCATAAATGAAGAAGATATGGCCTTGACAATGTTTGGTTGGAAGGACGGAGAGACGCTACAACACCTATATGACTCCCAATTATGGGAGGGCATAGAAATAGAAGTTAACTCTAAACTTATTTTTCAATATTTATTAGCAAAGACATTCTGAAGACTCCATCACTTTAACTTATAGAATGTCATTATATTAAAGTTAAACTATAAATGCAGTTATTTTGTTCTTTATGAGTTCTTTCTTTATATTCCCTTAATATGCTATCTGCGTCCTCTTCTTTTCATTGCAGCAGTACACTGTGGACAGTACCATTTACCTTTTGGTGCCTGTGACAGTCCAACACAACCATAGTGAAACCATTCTATTGGACACTGAAATAAAATAATTGAAACAGTTTATTTCATTACAGACATGTGTACTCACTAGTGTATCTTCCATGTATAATTATATCTTTCAAATTCAAAAGGACATGAAGGTGCAGGGGTTTTACACTATATATAACAGTCAGAGGCCTATAAAAGTCTCTTCCAAATATATATTTCTTTGAAATTTGCAGTTTTCCCTAGAAATTCAAACATAAACTAGCTTTTTACTTTCCCAAATCAGCAATTTTAGCGAGAATTCTTCCCAAAATCAAAGAGCTACTTAAGGCCTCTTCCCAATTAACAGAGAAAGCCCCCAGGTAGGATTAAACGGTTGATGATCTCAACTGTATGGGCTAAATGTAAGTGTGAAATACCCTGAATGAGTAGTGTATTTAAACACCTTAAATATTTCCCAGTGAGATATAAAAATATGAACACATAATTAGTATCTCGCATCATACGAATGGTTTATTCTGTTTTGTCTATTACAGGTCCACCATAGCATAATTATCTACTAAAATATTGGCAGAACTGACTGTTAACTAGAGAGTATCAATAGCCATGTTCGAAATTGCTTTGGAATTTGAATATGATGAAGATGTGAATTCATGAACATGAATATGAAGAAAAACCATTTCGGACAAAAAATGCAAAATTTGTTTTTTTTTCCAATCCAACCTCTAATTTCTAGAAATATTATACATGTATTTAGATTCAATCTTTCTAAAGGGAAAGACCATATTTATTATATGTAATTCTTTTGTTTTAATAAAATTCATCTAAGTAAAAGTGTCAGCTTATCAAAAGGTATTCACAGAACAGTCATCGAATTTAACACTGGCCCTGGTGGCCCATGGCCAGTGTAAATTTTAAATATATAGTAGAATAAATTCAAAACTGGAATTCGGGGCAGTAAATTCAAAATCTTAAATTCATTGACTGACAGAATGATGAAAAAGATATTTGAAATATAACCAGTGTGTAAATGACTATGTGGACAATCAGCTTAAAATTAAAACATTACTTTGTTCAAAATATCAAGGATAACACTGACACAAAGAAGTCAGGATACTCATTTAGTTACTTTCAACATTTTCAATCATATTTCAAAGAACATTAAAACTTAAATCTAATAATTAAATATCAATAACATATGACCTTGACCCTTGCATCTATATTACAAACATGTTAGTTCCAAACCTTACATAAGATATAAATCAATACATTTGAACTTACATCATCATTATCACATCCGACCATTTCACCGTATGATACTTGGTTACATAAACAATATCTCGGCTCGTTTGGATCATCCTGCCAATTTACGGGTTCACCATGCTCGTCAACTATTTGAAGCTCGTTGCTGGGTTCTGGTGTTGTTTGTTATTTCAACACCACCAGTAAGCTGCTGCGATAATGCTGAACATAACTGCTTGTTGTTTTTGTCTCTGGGCTTGTTCCTGTGCCTGTTGGGCTTGCAATAACGCTGCAGCTTTTGATGTTTGTCTGTGAAAAAAAAAATAAAAAATGAATTCATAAACACCAAGAATGATTCATCAGTATAAATCTTTTAAAAAAAAAAAAACCCAGCTCCATAAAAATTCATTTCAACAAGAGGAACTAGCGGGCTGGTATTGTGCGCTAACAAAATTGCATTATAGAGCTGAATGGCAGTATTTACAAGAGCCATGTTTACACACTGTTAAATCTCCCTGCCAAGAAGAGGCTACCTATAGGTTATACTTTCCTATGTTTTACTTGGTGAGAAAAAAAGCTTACAAAGTTATAATCATGATGAGTACAGTTAACAAGTAAGTGGGGAAAAAAAATTAGAAAAAGAAGAGAATAGACGGTTTGCAAAACATATTAATTTATTATCATTATAGGTCTGATATTTTTCTCATTTGACAACTGTAAAAAGAAGGAATAAAGTAAAGCAAATCTGATAAAGGGGAATAACTCCTAATGAGTAGGCAAGGAAGAGTTACTAAGTTATTTAACCCAAATGTCATGTTGTTCTGTCCGTTTTGGTTGGGTTTTAAGTCGCACCAACACTTTCAAAGGCATATAGGGACTTTCCAAATTAAACAGGAGGGGGAGACCTCAGGTGCCACTCTATGTATTATTTCAGGCACAAACTGCATTAGACTAGAATCACAAACATTCCTAAAGATAGCTTAACATCATCTTAACCTGAAAGAATCCAAAGTCCCTGGCAAAATTTTAACCCAAAGCAATGAAAAGCAAGTTGTTTGAAGTCAACAAACTTAACCACTTGTCCTCAAACAACCCCTGAAATATCATGTATAGTGGGCTTACTATAAAGGTAAAGTACAACATTCTACACACACCAAGGTATTACCTATCAATGGCTCAAATGACAAAAACAAAACAAAACAAAAAACCTTAAAACTGTTGATGATGAAAGGGTATGTGATAGAAGTGCATACTTTTTTTGTCTTTGGGACCTTCCAGCCCCACCATCTGTGGTGACAGCTGGAGTAGAAGGCTGTGAATATGAGGTGTACTCTTGTTTTATAATTTCTTTGGTTAATTCAGTACTACTCCCTTTCGTCATTGCAACATAACTGGCTTTCATACTTGGTGTACGTCGTCCCTGACACTGCATCTGAAATTTAATGAGAATTGTTATTTCAAAAATTTATAACAAATTAAACAATTCACTTTTCTTAACAAATATGACAAAAACAGTCAATTAAAAAAGTGAAACATCCTTAACAAACAGTACATCATTTATTATACACCATTACCAATTGTTCATTTCAAAGTTATTGAGTCAACAAACCATTCAAATTGTTGTGGCCATACAAAAAATCAATATGAGTGAATAAACATGTCAGTAAACAAAATATCCACACTTCACATAGATGGCATGTTTTGTAAACCAAATCTTAGAATAGAAACTGATTACGTACATGTATAAATGTCTTGAAAACAAAAACAGGATGAAAGTATGTGAATCTTAGAAAAAAAACTAATTACTAATGTAGGACTTGAAAACAAAAACAGGAAACACTCCAGACATACTAAAATCATTTCACAATAACAATTTAAGGTTATTTACAAATTTATTTTGCATGACATATTGTTTTGATCAACTGCTGTCATCATATACTTTGGGTTTAAGACTTGTAATCAGGTACAAGATAAGTGAAAACAAGGGCTATTGAAAGGAGACAGCACAATCAAACACTGTAGAACTGGTTTCATTTGCGAAAGGATAATTTTTACTAAAAAAAAATTTTGGCAAAACAATTCTGCATGGTTTTTAGTTATTGAATGAATATGCGGTTGAAATTGCAAAATATTGAAAAATTGGGGGTTTTGGTTTTAATAACCTATTTGGTGTGTTTCTTTCATAGAAAAAATTTTAAAACAAATAATGTCTTTTTTGTAATAAAGAAAATAAAAAAATTTTTTCTTTGAACAAACAAAAATAAAGTACAAAGATGGGTATTCACAAAATTTGAATTTTCCCTAGAGAAATGTTGCCAATTTTTGGTTTGAAGCTTTACATTTTTGTTAAAACAGTATTTAAGGTAAATTTGCTTCTAAAGGAAAATAAACTAATGCAAACAATACTTTGTATTTGAAGTGTTTTTATATACTTTGTACTTATATAAACAAGTTAACACGTGCATTTATCACCTTGAATCATAAAATTAATATGTGAGTCCTAGAATAGAAACTGGATACTAATGCATGACTTGAAAATAAACACAAGGTTAAAATTTAAGCACATGTTTTTTCAGAGGTATTAAAATCATTTTACAAAAACAAATTAATGTAATTTACAAATTAATTTTGCATGACGCATTGTTTTGATCAACTGCTATGAAACCGTGTATATCCAGTAACGCAGGAATGTGCAAATAATGCAGGAATTGTGCAAAAGTAACGCAAAATTGTGCAATTTAGTGGCTAAAACTAGCACTGTGATTAGTAAATGGTCCAATATTCTTTATTGTAAACCAAATTGGAATAAATGAGTTTGCGCATAAGGTTGCTGAGACATTATACTTTAAACCTGAAAATGACGACCTGACTAGCATATTGATAGCGATTTTTAGTTTTGTTGATATCTTTAAATACAATAACGTACATACTACTTTATGATTTTTTAAATTCAGTGTACCCCGAGATATTTTCCAATCTACTCATGTCATATTACACTTAATTTAGCAGATAAAATGTAATTGAGACCATTTTTACGAGGTAACCCCGAATTCGTGAATGAAGCACTAAAGCAACAGCGGTTATCTCTTTAAAACTAGTTTAATCCTATTCACCAGCTTCCTTCATATTGGTTTACGACACTTGTAGTTCCACAAATGTCTTAGGTATACATAATATGACAAACTATAGTTTTAAATGTGTTAAATGTTACATATCTATTTGAAGAAACACAGAGGTCACCTTCAAGATGGTAATTATGTTGTCTTTCTCACAAATGATCTAAAAACATTAACATATTCCAGATAAATAATGTAATGCTGGTTAAAGTATAATGTCACAGCAGCCATATGCACTAATTTCTTTCTTAAAATTTGATTTGGAATAAAAAATTTTGGTTCATTTACTGTATTATTCGTTTTGCCAATAGCGTTGCACAGTTTCTGTGTTATTTTTATGTTAATTTCACATTCCTGCGTTACTGGATATGCATGGTGTATGAACTCCTTGAATATCAAGGTCATTTAACAGTGAAGGTCAAGTATAGTCTGAATAATCTGAGGGTCTTGTCAAAAGGGTTGTTGTGTCAATGTATGAAGGCAATCCATTGGGAAATTAAAAGAATATGACTAACATTTTCAGATGGCAACAGCAACATCAACAACAACATGATCAACAGCAAACAAATTTTTACCCAACTAATTTTGGGTTCTTAATACAAGTAAACATTACTTTAACAAACATGACATTAAACATTTGACCGTAGAAATGTGTCTTAAAAGTAGGGCATTATAAGTGAGAAAAAATCGTGTAGACAGCTCAATTTACCGGACATTGCGTTTCAATTTTTTTTTTAATCCTGAATTGAAATTAATCTTTAAATAATAATCAGCTAGGAAACTACAACTATTGAAAGGCAAGGTTAAGATATTGAAAAAAAAATAGAATGTCACTAAAACAAGACACTACAGCCATGCTTGTTACGAAGAGGCCAATATAGGTGGTGTAATTCAAATTAACACTATTAAATCAATTAAGTGAATTAACGTATTGATTCTTAATGAATCTTAAACGTATGAAACATTTTGATATTTATATGGAATTCTGATCTTTGTCATGCTGTTTCCTTTTGATCATCATGTAGCATGTTACAAAAGCCATAAAATCTATTTCATTTACATTTCATTTACATTCCGTTTCCTTGTATGTTTTTTAATGTGCATTTCTTTGTAAAAGACAACAACGAGATACTTTTTGGACTAAATTTAAATATACTTTTTATCATTAAAATATGTTACGATAGTCTCCTGAGATAAGGTGGAGAAGAATTAAAAGTAAAACCTATCTATAATAATAACCAATTAAGGGCCTCTTTATTCGGACATGCGCAGAACAGATTATTCCCCCATATGACCAGGTCAGGAAATAACTTGTAAACAAAAGGGTATGTTATTAAATAAAGAACTGAATCAACAATATTTACCTGAGAGTGCTTTTTGTTGTTATTTACTTTGAAATAGAAAGTCTGTGTACCATTAAGACCGGATGATTTTTGAATCAAAGCAAAAATAAAAGCACTATTCAGCAGGAATAGCTTTTGTCCGGTAAACTGATTGTCTGGTAAACATGTAGGATCCCAGTAGAAGTCTAAAGATGTGCAAGTTAGATACATACCACTTGTTGTGTTGCTGCTATTGCTTGTGAAGCTGCTGCTGCTATAGCTGCATTACTACCAGCTCCAACATGACCTGTTTATATACATAATGTTCAAACATGACCTGTTTATATATATAATATTGGTACATGACCTGTTTATATACATTATGTTCATACATGACCTGTTTATATATATAATATTGGTACATGACCTGTTTATATACATTATGTTCATACATGACCTGTTTATATACATTATGTTCGTACATGACCTGTTTATATACATAACGTTCGTACATGACCTGTTTATATACATTATGTTCGTACATGACCTGTTTATATACATTATGTTCGTACATGACTTGCATATATATATAATGTTCGTACATGACCTGTTTATATATAATGTTTGTACATAGCCTGTTTATATACATAATGTTCGTACATGACCTGTTTATATACATAATATTGATACATGACCTGTTTATATATATAATGTTCGTACATGACCTGTTTATATATAAAGTTCGTACATGACCAGTTCATAAACATAATGTTCGTACATGACCAGTTTATATACATAATGTTCGTACATGACCTTTATATATATATAATGTTTGAATTTGACCTGTATATAAATGTATACATCAAGTTCTTATATAACCTGTTATATACACAATTTTCTTACATTACCTGTTTATATAAATAACATATAAATAACGTTAAAACATGACCTATTTACATAGATAATATTGGTACATGACCTGTTAACATAGATAATGTTCTTACATGACCTGTTTACATAAATAAATGTTCTAACACAACCTGTTTACATAGATCACGTTGGTACATGACCTGTTTAAATACATAAATGTTCACACATGACCTGCTTACATACATAATTTTCAGATTCACCCAAGAGAGTATAATATCTAGTCTTCATCTTTGGCAAATGAATTTGTGTATTAAATGTACCTACCTAGTTTATATGTAAGAGTGGTAGAAGCAGGCGCTGAATTAAACATTGATATATTTGGTGAGTTAGATGCTGATTGACTTTTCCGTACACCACCAAACGAGTCTCGTGCAATTTCATTCGCTAAGGTTGACAGCACTTTTTCTGTAGTCATCTTCTTTTCATTTTGTGTAGGTAAAGTAGATGAAGGAAGTTTCCGTTCTGAAAAAAAAAGAAGAAATTACAATACAGTTAATGAGTTATCCAATTGAATACAATATAAATTGATTGGACTAGACATCACTCCAAACAGACTTTACAATTTTTGTTCCATCAAAACAGTAGATAAGTGTATTCCATGCAGATATTTTTTTTAAGAAATAGCAAAGTATATATCTGTTCCTTTACTTATATGCTATAACAGCTTTTTCATTTAGTGGGGTTATAGAAATTATAATTTTCAAATTATTGTTCGGATCATACAACAAGTCATTAAGACAAACACGAGCACAGCGTGCGATGTTCAAGCTTGTCTGTTAAAAAATTCTAACTTCCAGTATTATGCAAACAACTTCATGGATGATGCTGGCAAAATTTAAACACCTGTGAATTAAATTTTGCAAGTGAACTTCTTGTTTTGCAAGTTGTTTCGTAACTTACTTACAAAATTTTTCTAGTTACAAAAATGTACATTTTTTAACTATGAAGTCAACCATAAGCCAACAGTCTTCAGTAGCAAATGGAAATAAACTTGCAAAAATTTTCAAACAAAAAATTTAAAAATAAGGGAAAAAAAATACCCCGGTTTTTAATAACATTCTTTCTTTCTGGGTCTATTTATTTTTGGGAAATAAAAGGGTTTTTTCCATCCTAAAAATCCTGTAATGAAACCCAAAAGTACAAAAATTTGGGAAACTATCAATGGAAAGGGAAAATTCAATACCCTAAATTAAACATTATCATTTAATTGGGGAATAATTTCTTTTAAAAGGAAATATTTTTTTGGGGTCAGTCGATCATTATTAAACAAACTCATATATTTTAAATACAAAGGGAAAAGGGGCCGAAAAACTGGGAAAGGGGAATTCAAAAAAATGGCAAAAAAGGGTAAAAAAAAAGAAAACTGCATGGGTATCAAGAAAACCCCACATATTCTTTATTTCAGAGTAAGTCTATTAAGACTTGAACATTTTTATCAAATGAAAAGCTCAAGTTTTATGTAAAAATTAATAAAAAGCCACCAGTACTGTGCAATCCCTTCACAAATATTCACCATATTCAGACAAATATCAATGTCTGGGGCTTTATAAGAAAATTTATTAATGCCAAGGGTGGTCACATGAAAAATTACATAAGGACTTATATATGTGCATAGTATTTTAACATCCTTTAAAATTTGTGAATGTTATTTAATCAAGTTTTCTTTAAATTGCCTTTACCAATATTTAGATAACAGTCAGTTATACTTAACTGATACAACAAATATATATTCAATGGATGTATAATTTGTATTTAAACCAAAACCATTTTCAAATAATATAAAGTGATAAACATATGCCTTAGAAAAACTAAAACCTATGACTATGTTTATGTTGCCATGGAAAAATAGAAGCAGTCTTTTTTAATTTCATTTCAGCAAATAGTATGATGATAATTAATACTTGACTCTATTGATTTTTGTACCATTCGCTTCAACAAAAACATTCTTCAAGCCTCATGGGAAGGTATATGAGCCGCGTCATGAGATAAACCAACATAATGCGTTTGCGACCAGCATGGATCCAGACCAGCCTGCACATCCGCGCAGTCTGCTCAGGATCCATGCTGTTCGCTTACCAACTCTATTACAAGTAGAGAACCTGATCGCGAACAGCATGGATCCTGATCAGACTGCGCGGATGCGCAGGCTGGTCTGGATCTATGCTGGTCGCAAACCCATTATGTTGGTTTTGTCATGACACGGCTCATATGTTGAATTATAAATTTTGAAACTTAATGGAAGCCCTGACTGTCTAATGTCAAATTTAAAAGTTCAAGACCATTTCATGATATGCACTTTCTCCTGACAGTTCAGTTTAAACAGAATGACTAGGATCATATCTTAAATACACTCCCTGAAATAATGTACAAACTTTTTTCTAAAACTTCTGTAATCCCTGCATTATCTGCTTCTAGCTCCATCTTAAATTTTGACAATTCTTGATCAAGTTTTCGTAAATGTCTGTCAACCTGCAATTATATTTAACGCATTTTCAAATAAGTATAAAAAGAATAATACAGGTTTCTTCAAGAAATAACAGTCATAAAGTACTCGTCTGAAGCACTATTTCAGCAACAAAATACCAAATGCTGATTTTTTTACTTTAACAACTGATTTTTTTTACTTTAACAAGGATAATCTTTAATGAAGTCCATAATTTTAAACATTTCATGTACTCAATTAAAATATCAGTATTAAAATTTAAAAAAAAATTGTTAAAAATAAAGTGAAAAGATATGATAGCTATATTACACTATATGAATAAAGTTTCACATTAATTTTCAACACAAAGTTTTCAGTATGTTCTGTTGTTAATCATAAGTTATGATATATCACAATTATAACCTGGTGTATGTTTATAAAGTTCTAAAGCATTGCAGGAATTACTCTAATTTTATTTCCATAAGCTTTAAGGAAACTATCTCCCTTTTGCACAGCTTCTGTATCAAGACATGTATCTACCACACTGAAAACCATATCTTAATTAACTTGCTTTTTACACAAGTTTTTTTTTGTAAAGGTCACATGGCAACTTTTCCAGCTTTATACTAAAGCAGATAGACCTCAGGTACCCAATCGTGAATTAGTTCAGGTACAATTGTATATCCATGTAGAACCTCCAACCAAGTGTAAGCTTACTTAAAAGCCTTCTTACCTGAAAGGGTTATCATAACGTACACTGCATTCACAAAATTGTAAAACAAGAAATTTTATCATGTAAAATGCGGAATGAGCAGTTTATTTGTTTGTTTCTTTCATTTTACGCCTTTTCCCAACAGTATTTCAGTCATATATTCGGGTAGTTTCCTAACCATCGTTCTTGGAGAGTTACACCAGTACTAGACTACCTTCCTCCATGCTAAACTACCAAAACATCTCCCGGGGATCGAACCCACGCCAGAGAGCTAACTGGATTAGAAGTCATCGACCCACGGAGGCAGTCTCCAAATGAGGAGCTTCAATGAATATGATAAAAGACAAAACATATATTGGACTAAAAGTCATCAAAATATTCCTTGAATTATTTGAAAGGACTTCAAAATATGCAGCAAACAGTATAAAGCAAGGTCAGGCTGCACATATATGCTGGATAACCTAGAGCTTTCCTGGCAGCCTTGACCAGTTACTTTACAGCTGGCTCTGAAAGAATTAAAAAATCATTCTCACCAGGTCATAAATGTGGTTTGCAAGCTGCACTTTTTCATCAGCATCTTCTAATGTCTTATAATATTCCTACAAATAAGAAATTATTAACATGATCAACCAAAAGAATCACATAGAAAAATATGCTGTTGTGTACCTGTCTTTCCCTATTTAGCTTAACAATGCCAATTTTCTAAGCTCTGGGCCATGAAATTTGAAATAAGAAAATATAAGTGAGATTTTTTTTTTTTACAAATGGGTCTTTGCAACATTAGTCATTCCCAAAGACTGTGCCAATCATTACCCTCAGGGCATAAGCTATGTAACTATTATATTTAAAATAAATAAGTTCTGGGCCCTGCAGTTTTTGACAGTTTACTTTTGAAATTTATTTTTAGCCCCATTGAATGACCTACTGATAGGACCAGCAGCCATTTATATACCTTCTGAAAAGGACTATCAGAGTCAGTTTTGTGTTCAGTAGCTTTGAGGTTGCAAGAGAATGTAGAAGATACTGGACATATATCTATTGAAAAAGCTCTCTTCTGAGCACTTTGTGCTCTGCAAAGCTATAATCTATCATCATTCTATGAAAAAAAATCTTCTAGGCCTCACCTTTTTAATTTTTCCAAATTGTTCCTCTTTCCAATCAGTTTTAACATTTGGCTGTGTACATTTTTTGAAAAATGAAGTTACTCTCTCATCTAAACCATCCAATGAATCTGTTAATACAAAGTAACATACAATCAAAAACTTTACTTATTATATAACTTTATATCATAGATAAAGTCACAATCAGTGTGTAATTCCAAATTAACTACTGACTGGAATCCTTAGTGAACATTTAAAATTACACCAAGTCTGACATTCCCACAATACTCCATTACAGCTATTGTTGTGTATTTTATAGCCAAATATATGCAGTTTCTGCTTATGCAAAAAGCTATCTTTCCTGTAAAAATGTTATATTTTCTCTTTCGTCCCACTGTCCCCATTTATTATCATCTGCAATGAACCTTGCATGTAAAACTACAATTAAATTGAAAATTTGATTAAATGTGTGGCTATAGTATAGTGCATTCTCAGTTCTTAATATATTGATTTCACTTTTTCCTTTTTTCTGATTAATCACACTATACTTTTCTAAGCAAAAAGGCACAAGTTTTTTTGAAAATTATATGCAACTTTTTGCATACAAATAATGAAAAATCTTTCATACATGTACAGTTGTACTGTATACTTTGAATATTGCAGCTACATTCCCTGGACAGTGTGGGTGCTATGGGGAACAATAGTCATTACCAAACCGTAAAGCTGCAGTTTGAAATTATTTATATCCCTTTGAGAAAATTTGTCCGCTATTAACCCAGCTCCCAATCCCACAGGAGATACCTGTGTTAATAAATGCCTGAAGGTATATCACATGCTATCAGTGCAAATAGACTAGCTAGAACCCTACAAATTTTTCTACTGTGACATTCATATGATAATATCATATATAATCTAAAAGTATCTGGCGTCATTTAATTCTGTCTATTGCTTTATTATAAGCATTGTCACACAGTTTTTCCTTAAAAATGTGTCAGTGACATAAAATGTTTGTATCAGAAAAATAAATGACAAAACAAATTACAATTTTAGTATCAAATTTTAAATTATTGCACTAGTTTACAAGTGTACCAGTACTGTAAACATTTATTCTAACACTATCGGAAATTTTTCTATATAAACAAAGAAGGCCCGAAGCGTGCATTATTCTACAACAATGCAATTGCCTTTCTTATTATCTCCCTGTGTATTTTAACATTGAGGGTGCCATTTTGCTTGAAAAATCTGATAAATAAAAAATAATTTTTTGTCGAATTTTGTTGTGAAAATCTAGAATGAAAGAAAATGGTCTAAGAAAATGAATCCGAACACCAATATCATTAATTCAGTCGTTAACACTGTACAGACGTTTAAAGTGTTGTTTACGTGACATCACAATATAGGGCGAAGCAGCACATGCAAACACAATCAAATCAAGTACGCTATTTCAATGTTGCAAAGGAGTTAAATTTCTCATTTATTTTTCACTTTTAATAATTTGTATTTCGCTTGAAAATTATAGTGAAATAAAATAAACAAACAAAGTTTTATCAACATTTTCAAAATTCGTTATTCTCTAATGTTTCTAAACAAGGTAGATTTAACGACAGTTTTTTTTTCAACCCACTGGAACAGCCTTTAAAGAACGTTTCTATTGGAAACTCTGATGCCAAAACAAATTTAACCACCAAACATAAAGTCCAACTTTATTATAATAATTATATTTTTTCTTGACGTGTTAGAATGGAAATAGATATTAATTCTTCGTGCATTATTGTATAATAATGCACGTTTTTCGTTCAAATGCTTTGTAATTGATCAATCAGGCCTATCGTTATTATATTACCATGCATTTGAACTCAAACTGTGCATTATTCTACAACAGTGCACTCAGAATTGAGATCTATTTCATAAATAACAAGCTGCAAGCTCATTTGGAATATTATAACTAGTATATATATTTAAGATTATAGGCTATATCCTGGAATACAACCGGGTCTCAATGTTTTCCATTTTCTTTACTTCATTATATGCATTTTTTAAACGGGTCTTAATGTTTTCCATTTTCTTTACTTCATTATATGCATTTTTTACTCCTGAAATATACAGAGGGTTCTAATCCTGGAGATTGCAATTTTATGTGAAACATGAAAGGGAGAGAACTTCAGCAAACAACTACCTACACTAGAAGGGAGGTAATCAATAATGCTTTAAAGTGTTTACTGGCACAATTTAACAAAACTACACGTCTTTACCTACTTGTGTCTGTGCTATACTTACTCTGAACCTGAAGATCCATTTCTCTCATTTCTGTAAGACGTTCTCTCATCTCCATTGGGAGATTTTCAATCACTGAAAAGGAAAAATGGCAACAATCAAAATGTTGTTTTCGAAATGTTTCTTTTATTTACTGGCAATAAGCAATTATACATTTAAAAATCGCTACTCACTCTCTAAATAGTCTTCAAGGTACAACATTTTGATTGAAATTATCTGTAATTTTGCTTTCCTTCTAAAAAAAAATTGTTTCCCAATGTCAGTTAGTACATCAATTCTCATTGGCTTACGCTCCAGCAACGACAATCTGATTTTGGACGAAATCGATTGTTTCTAATCACAAATGATAATAAACTATCAAAGTGTATGAATGCAGATTATATTTTGAAAATACAAATGTTATTAGAAAGATGGGAATGACCAAATAATTACATATTTGTGGATTAACTTATAATTTTGACTTTAGCCGAATAGCCAATGAAAACATTCGTTTCATTTCTAAAAATGAAAATAAAGACGCCATTTTCCTCCGCCGATCTCGACAAAGAGGATAGTCATATCGGAAAATGAAAGGATAGTTCTTAACCAGTTACTCAAATCCGCACCGTATTAAGATAACAGATTGCAGTTGTGATGACACAAATCTAAACTAAAATTGATTTCTACAAAAATATTATTATCTTGTTTTGATAACTTTACTGTATATTATAAGGGCCCACTCAAATAAGGAAAGTTTTATTACTTTTCTGTAGACTTTTTCCTTTCGCTGGATATATTATAGGGTATTTAAGACTCGTTTCCATACTTCTTAAAATGTATGAGCGGATAGAAAATAACAGTCTCAGAAAAATTCTGTGAATATAGTTGTTTTTTGTTCAAAGTCTCAAGTTTGGAATAAATGGTGGGATCTCGTGTACGTACACTAGCTAAACATTCAGTGCCATGTAGCGTCACGGGGGCCAATTATCAACCAATATGTACTGGGATCCTACATGTTTACCGGACAACCAGAAAAGACCATCTCCAACTACAAACAGACCTGAAATCACTGGAAACTTGGGCATCTACTTGGGGTATGAAATTCAATGCCAAAAAATGTTGTTATGAGTATCAACAACAGATCCACTAACTTTTACCAACTAGACAATCATATCCTACAACAAGTTGATGAAAATCCATACCTTGGTGTCACTTTTACAGACAATCTAAAATTTGGAACCCACATCACGAAGATTACCAACAAAGCCAGCTCTACACTCGGATTCCTCAAGAGAAACCTTAAACACTGCCCACTACTCTGCAGGAAAACAGCCTACTTATCCCTTGTTAGATCCACTCTTGAATACAGCTCAATTGTATGGGACCCATTCCTACAGAAAGATATAGACAAGCTTGAGTCGATCCAACGGAAGGCTGCTAGATTTATTTCTGGGGATTACAAATCAAGAGATCAAGGCTGCGTTACTAGGATGTTGAAGCAACTTGAGCTATCTCCATTACAAGACAGAAGGAAAATGGCACGATTGACATTCTTCTTCAAGGTGGCTGAGGGGCTGGTGCCAGCCATGCCCACCGATACCTATCTGACCCCTATTCGTGGTAAACGCCTAATTAAACCTAAGAAACTAGACAATTGCATAACTAAAAACATTGTAGAAAAACAGGCTATAAACCATCATAAGTGCTATAAACCTATTATCTCAAAAAGTGACCAATTTGAACATTCATTCTTTCCTAAGACTATTAGTGATTGGAATAACTTAGACAGTGCCGTTGTGTGCGCAGTGACAGTACAGAGCTTTAAAACAGCTCTCCAACAGTGCTACTAAATTACTTAGCTCCTCTCTGCCGCTGCGTACATACCGGAAGGTTCTGCAGTGTACACATTCAGATTCAGATTCAGATTCAATCAGTTTACCGGACAAAATCTATTCCTGTCAAATAAGGCTTTATTTTTTGCTTCAATTCAAAAATCATCCGGTCTGAATCGTACACACACTTTCTACTGCAAAGTAAATAACAACAAAACCACTCTCAGGCAAATATTGTTGATTCAGTGTTTTATTTACTAACATATCCTTTAGTTTACTAGTTATTCCATGACCTGGTAATGCGGGGAAATAATCTGTTCTGCGCATTCCCGAATATTGAGGCCCTTAATGGGTTATTTAACTTATTCAGATAGATTTTACTTTTAATTCTTCACAATGTTAACTCAGGAGACATTCGTAAAATATTTTAAGGATAAAAAATGATTTTAAATTTCGTTCAAACAATGTCTTGTTGTTGTCTTTTACAAAGAAATGCAAATTAAAAAACATATAAGGAAACCGGTTACGCACATGGGAGGAAACTCTACATGAAATGTACAAAAAATAGACTTTATGGCTTTTGCAACATGCTACATGATGATCAAAAGGAAACTGTATGAGAAAGAACAGAATTCCATTTGAATATCAAAATATGTCATACTTTTAAGGATCATGAAGAAATAATACGTTAATTGAGTTAATATTGTTTATTTCAATTACACCCCTTTATTGGCCTCTTCGTAACAAACATGGCTGCCGTGTCTATTTTAGTGACATACTGGTTTTTTCCAGTATCTTAACATTGCCATTCAATAGTCGTAGTTTCCTTGCTAAATTTCAATTTAACACTTCAAAATATTTTGAAACACAGTGTCCGGTAAATTGAGTTGTCTGCACGATTTTTTTCCTCTTTTAATGCCCTACTTTAAAGACACATTTCTATGGTCAAAAATTTAATTTTATGTTTGATAAAGGAATGTTTACGTATATTAAGAACCCACATTTATTTGGGTAAAATTCCATTCTTTTCTATTATTTCAAATAAAAGTTACAACGATAAAACATCATATTTTGTCCGGTAATATGTAGGATCCCAGTAATGTGTTTAGTTTAAAAATATTTCATTGTATATGTCCCAGTGGCGGATTCAACCCTGGCTTCAGGCCAAAGTCTATATCTACTAATTAGGCTGGAATATTCTCTTTACAAATCTCGTCAACTACAGTAACTGTTGTGCACTCTGTTCAATTGGATCTGTATAGTGTATGGCAGCGCTACGATAATTTTTCTGGCAATATTATTAACTGATGATCCCGCATGAACAGTTAAATATATCAACACTGAGAATATACATTAAAATAACACACAACAAATGAAGAAAACAGGTACTATATTAACTACACACGCTAAATTAAACTCTGTCTCAGTTTAAAATGACGCGTTCTTATTTCTGAGATGTATTTCTTTCCCTCTTGAAATGAGAAGATAGTTTGGTGTACTGAAAAAAAGTGACGAGCGTTGAAAATGTAATGATGCATGCTTTTTATTAATGCATATCACAATATTTGTTTTTTAAACATGTGCGTATACTGAATAGTCTAAATAGTTTGGAGGTAAAAAAAGGAAAATATATATTCTATACATTCGAATCCCAATCAAAATAATAGTATTTACACATATTCTTATCCAATGAAAATTCTATTCATTAAAGCATATACATGTATTCTAGGATCAATTTGAAAACATCGTCACAACCACGAGCGAGCATCTGCTGAGATTTATTCAACTTTAATTCAATGTATAATAAGTTTTTATGTTAACATATCATATCATTTTCCTATTTACATGTTTAATCATTTCAAGCGCGTCTGAATATGACGTTCCCGTATAGAATGATATTTTACTTCAGCTTTATCATTATCAACAAGAACTTACATGTATTTCATGACACATATAAACTCTACTATCTACTGATAAGACATCTACATGAACAAATAGATAATATAGTAAAGTGTATACTTTTGTACAGGTTTCAGACATGTTTTCGTTGCAATATCTAATTTTAATGTTACTTGGCATCAACTGTAATGCATTCTTGCTCGATGATGACTCGGTCACCAATCTCCTGGCTTTATTACAGACCGAGAAAGAAGCAAGAGGCCAGCTTGAATCTGCTATTGTAAGCTTACGCGGTGATATAGCGAAAGCAAATAGTAAACACCAGTCGTGTAAGTAGTTTCTTGTTTCTTTAAGCCTATTACACGTAACATTTTCAGTAAACATTTTGTTCACAGCGATTATTATCAGTATATGTCTTTTGAATTAGCTGCATGTAAAAAAAGATTCTGAATTAATGAAAACTATGATCTTTTATTACAACAATAATTTCAAAATTGAAATGCACATCTCGACCAAGTGCATGGTGACATACCATCCAAAAAATGTAAAAGTTTGAGCTGGATTCTAAGATTTTTCTTGTTTTGGGTCAGGGTGTTTTTCGCACACAAACATCTGGACTACAAGTTTGCCAATTCTTATAATAATTATATCGAACGATACAAGATAATTTCTTTAGATTAATTCTTTTGATAATAAGTCGAGAGACAGGAGTTCTCTAAGAAGCACTTCCTAAAGTGTTGAAACAAAAATAAGTAAAATGCTTTAAATACTTTAAAATTGCAAATGCATGCATTTTTGTAGACATGCTGTCAAACAACGATACCTCGTTACAGCACATTTGCATCCTTGGCTATTGTTGATATAATATTATGTAAATTGTTCAGACCGCCAAAATCGTTATACATTTTTATCCATGATTACCAAAGTAAATTAATATATTAATCGATATGTCTAAGAAGACAAAATGGAATTTGTCAAGAACGTATTTTGATATTCACGTAATAAATGTACTTGTATTTTCATGAAGGCAATAACTTTCACCGAATGAAGTTGATACCAGTATGGCGCGTTACTTACTAGCCTTTTTATTTCCTTTTCAGCACAATGCCAGTGTCCAGCCAGTAAAGCTGTAGCATTTTCAGCTACTCTAACCCACGACATTAGCAGCTTTGGGACCGATCAGCCAATTATCTACGACAAAATCATCACAAACGTGGGTGGGGCTTATGACAATCGCCACGGTGCATTTCGCGCACCAGTATCCGGCACGTACAAATTTTCCTTTTCTGTTTTGCAAGGAACCAGTCGAATGTATATTGCAGTGGAGCTAGTACGGAATGGTTCCCCTATTGGGCGCGTAAGGACGGGTGATTATCAATATTATGCAGTCGGCACGAATATTGTAAATGTACATCTTGACGCAGGAGATGACGTGTGGGTTCAACACCAAGACTACATAGGGTCTGGAATGACCGTTCAGGCCAAGGGAGGGGGATATTCACTTTTCACTGGGCATCTCGTTAAAGCCGACTAAATGAAAACATATACCAAATAAAAATTTGATTCGACAACTTTACTGTTCTTTCTTAAAAATGTTTGTCAAAGTATAAAAAGTAAAAGAAAATATTTTCACCGCAATGGACTTTTGTGTATGATAATAAAATACATCAAGAATGATGAGTGCTAACTTATTTTCGACAAATGTAAGGAATATTATCACATTTATTTTAAAAAAAGTCAACATGAAGGTATTAACACTGATCTTTAAAAATATCCATAGATATATCTTCAGCTTAATGGATATCTCGATCAATGAATTTTATGCTAAAGATTGACACCAGTATACTCTTGTCCGTTTGTACATGGAACAATGCATGGAGGGGGATGAAACGATGCGCGGAGGGGCATCTGAGATATTCCTGGACCAGCTATACTGAAAAATCGCCACTTTACGTGGTGTTGCATAAAACCAAACAAAAAAAATGTGATTTCAAACATATCCTACTAATATGAATTTTTCTATAATCCTTGTAAAGAAAACAAAATAAGGTCACACATTCAATTGAATAGTTGACACAGAAAGAGATCCATATAGTCTATATCATAATAGCAATATGCCGATAAAGAGTTTCCAAACTAGTAGACAGCAGACATTTTCTGTTCAGTTGTGTTTAGAGTAATATTAGCCGGCTGCATACAGATCTTTCTGTATAAATCATTTTGTTAAATGCCAACAGGCAGTAAGTTTAACAGTCAAATACATTTGGTGTCAAAGTACAATAAGAGCTTGGCTGTACTTTGCGTCACCAAGGACACGCTGACAGCTTTAGATCTGAGCGCTGTTTGGGAGTTTAGCTACTCTCGCAGTCTACGAATCAGACTGAAGCCGGAGTGGTTGCCCTATTGAGTAAGAAGAAAACTTGGGTGTGTGAGCCCCTGGTTCACAGTGACGACTAGAAGGCAGGCCATTCAATTGACATATATAGTCCTTATTAGGGCTAACCTCTTTCATTATTGTCATAGGTTACTGTACTACCTAGGTGCTCACTGACTGCTGTAGAGTGACCTAGTTTTGACTCAAAGTTCATATCTGGCTAATACTCAGAGGTAAATCATTAAGATTTTGCGCTCAAAATTAAGCATTTAATGGTATGACAGGTGACTTGTCCAGGGTCCATACTCGACAGAAAAAGCTGCATTGGATCCTCAATAAACAAAGATGTCTTTCATATACCCTATTTATTTGTATAATTACACCACATGAACATACATGTATGGTGCAAATCAATAATAACATTTTTATATATCACAGATTATCTTTAATAACCATAAAATTTATAAATCATTACAGATGTATATCTTTGGTTTGTATAATTATACATGCAATAAAATCGAAAGCCGCCTGGTGTAAGAAACAAATCTTTGTTAAACAAATGTAAGAATATACATATACATGTATATCAAAAGTTTAAGTGAACATTCCAGGTGAAATTTGAATACTTATACATAAGCAAAATATGGCAGAAATTAATACACTGTATTTTTATTATTAAAATTCAACCTTGTTACTAAAAGTGCAAGAGAATTTTCTGGATATTTTGATATCCTATAGGTAATTTCTGTGTATGGAAAATTCCTGGATGTAAACATACACCCATATTTGACATGACAAGAGGCACAGCCAGACGGGGACCACTATACACTTTTTCTTACTTCTAATGTTAAAACATTGAAGAAAGAATATTGCAGAAATATACTCCTAGAAAACACAACAATCTTGAACAAATTATAATTCAAATTTCCTATTTGACCATGCCAGCCCAGGTCATTCAAAGGTCAAGGTCACATTGTCAGTTTGTCTTAAAGGTTCTTTTGTCCAAGAATGATCCAAAGTTATGACAACTTATGTAAATTTCAATAATTTGACATATGTGTTATTTTGACCAAGTATAAATCAAATCTGTAAATTAATAACAAAGTTATGACAATATGAGCAACATTTTTTTAATAATTTGACCTTGATGGTCAAGGTTAATTTAACATCAAGGCCATATCAGAGTAATTCAACATGTCGATTTTGTCATAAAGTTCCTGTTTTCCATGTATAAATCAAATCTGTAAAAACATAACTAAGTTATGAAAATCTTAGCTAAATTCAATATTTGACCTTGACAGTCAAAGTCATATAAAGTCAAGGTCATATTTGAACTAATTAACATGTCAGCTTTTGTTATAAGTATTCTTTTGCTTAATAATGCAACAAATACATAAATAAATAACAAAGATATGGCCAATTGTTGCGAAATTCACTAATATGACCTTTAGTGTCAATGTCAATTTAAAGTCAATGTCAAGTTCAATCAAATCCTCTTGTATGTTTTGTCTGATAGATTGTTGTGCCCTCATATCAAGACAATCCATTTAACAATTACAAAGTAACGTTATACCCAGTTAAAGAAAAAAACCCCGAAAAACAACAACTGAATTTACAATGAATTAACCTTCAAAGTCAAGGTCATTCACCTGTCAAAGTCAAACTAGGTTTCATTTACTTTGTAGCAGATGTGCTCAAGTATGAAGACATTCCATTCTTACATACCAAAATCAAAACAAATTGTAGCAAAAATCAAGCAAAAATCAAAAATTTGATTTTCAAGGTCAAGGTCATTGATTAATGAATGTCATAATCAATTTGGTCTTAATGATGGTCTTGTCCAAAGGATTATTGTGTTCACGTTTGAAGACAATCCATATATAAATAACAAACTTACAGCAAATTATAGAAAAAATTGACATTCAAGGTCAAGGTCACTGATTAGTGAAGGTCATAATTAATTAGGTCTTTATTAGGGTCTTGTCCTAATGATAATTGTGCCAAACTATGAAGACAATTTTTAAAAAAAATTCGAAATATAGCAAAAATCAAGCAAAATTCAAATATTTGACCTTGGGGGTCAAGGTAATTTATGAGTGACGGTCAAGTTCAGTCTGGTCAACTTGGAGGCCTTGACTAAAAACTATGACCAATGTTAAAGTTTTCAGACAGCAACGTCAACGATAACCTGACTGTAGCAATAGCTCTTTTTATTTATTCCAAAAAGTCGAGCTAAAATAAATCATGTAATAAATCAGTGTAAGAAATACAAGTAATGACAAGCTATCCTAGACAAGAATTACATGTCCTTTTTTACAAAACATTAAATTTTTAAAACGAACATGAATATATCTATATGACATGTTAAAACAAGCATTCTGCTTTAATGAACACAATAACTGATTTACTGGACTGATCAATTCTGTAATGACTAGAGATCATTAAACTGAATGTTAATAAAAAAAACCCTGATCTAAATAGAAACAAGAGGGCCATGATGGCCCTGAGGTCGCTCACCTGTATATAGGCCCAGTTTTTACTACACACACGTAATGAAAAACAATGATCTCTCACCCCCCTCCCCGCCGGCAGGGCCAATTTTCACCCAAGGGCTTTTATTTGAACAAACTTGGTAGATATCCATAAGAAGATATTTCATGCTAAACATCTAAGCTCAAGCTCATTGGGCTTTTTAAAAGAAGATTTTTAAGTTTTTACTACACACATATAGTTAAAAACAATGACACCCCTGGGGCGGGGCCAGTTTTGACCCCAGGGCTTTTATTTGAACACACTTTGTAGACACTTACTAGAAGATGTTTCATGCTGAATATCTAAACTCAAGCTATCTGGGTTTTTTCAAAGAAGATTTTTTTAGTTTTTACTATATGCATATAGGGAAAATCAATGATGCCCCGGGGCGGGGCCAATTTTGACCCCAGGGCTATTATTTGAAAAACTTTGTAGACACTCACTAGAAGATGTTTCATGCTTAATATCTATACTCTAGCTATTTGGGTTTTTTCAAAGAAGATTATTGAAGTTTTTGCTATACACATATAAGGAAAATCAATGACCCCCGGGGCGGGGCCAATTTTGACCCCAGGGCTTTTATTTGAACAAACTTGGTAGACACCCATTAGAAGATGTTTCATGCTGAATATCTTAGCTCTAGCTCTTTGAGCTCTTTAAAAGAAGATTTTTTAAGTTTTTACTATATGCATATAGGGAAAATCAATGATCCCCTGGGGTGGGGCCAATTTTGACCCCAGGGCTTTTATTTGAACAAACTTGGTAGACACTTATTAGAAGATGTTTCATGCTGAATATCTTAGCTCTAGCTCTTTGGGTTCTTTAAAAGAAGATTTTTTAAGTTTTTACTATATGCATATAGGGAAAATCAATGACCCCCTGGGGCGGGGCCAATTTTGACCCCAGGGATTTTATTTGAACAAACTTGGTAGACACTCACTAGAAGATGTTTCATGCCAAATATCTAAGCTCTAGCTCTTAGGGTTTTTTAAAAGAAGATATTTAAAGTTTTTTCTTTCGGTTGCCATGGCGACCAGAGTTCTGCATGGAATTAAATTCTTTGAACAATTTTTAAAGGTGACCACCAAAGGAACATTCCTGTGAAGTTTGGATGAAATTGGCTTAGTGGTTTATGAGGAGATGTCATTTAAAGTAAAAGTTTACGGACGGACGATGGACGGACGGACGACGGACAGACGCCGGACGAAAAGCGATCACAAAAGCTCACCCTGTCACTTTGTGACAGGTGAGCTAAAAAAGAGTAAGTTACGCAAAAATAACTCAAACAATTTAATGTTTTTGAAAACAAAAACATGTACTTGTATCAAATTATTCTATTGTTTTACATAAAATCTTTGAAGAGTCAAGCATTTAAAGATAAAGTACACTTACAAGCTTTTTTTTTAGAACAAATAAGCACATTTATAAAAAAAAATATGACCAGTTATGAAATATAATAAAATCACTAAGTACATGAACTAGTTTGAACTACAGATGGAGGTAGTAAAACCAGGTGACTTTTAGATGAAGTACATAGTAGGAAACAAGAGACTTATCCCTGGAGCAGCACACTTTTCTCTGTGCATGTTTTCTTTATAAAGAAACTATTTGAATTGAAGGTCACAAAAACCTTGACTTTTTCCCAGAAAAGAGCAAAACAAACACAACTCATTAAATGCATACTGTATGTAGGCCTAGGCCTATCCTTGATTTTTCACCCAAAAATGGGCATGGAGTCAGAACTCATCATGATGCATCCACAGATAAAGTTTAAGTCACAGCTGAAGTTTTTGACCACAAACAAAAACTAAATAAACAAGCAGGTCATTGAAAAAACACAATAATCATACAGAATTTTACAGTAAACTAAACTTGTGAAGTTAAACAAAATCATTTAGTTTTATCATCAAAATCAATAAGGTATAGAATAAATGTAAATAATCATGTTATAAATAAGAAATACACATAGAAATTTACTCTATATTTCATTTGAACAACCCTATACAAAACTCAAATTCCTTTTTGAAATAAAAAAAATAAATCTAAAATATATTTATAAACCAACATTTCATTAACGAAAACAAGCAAAAACTAAATTCTGAATTGGTGGGATTCAATATTCAATATAATTTTATTCACATAATTTAACATTTGATTACAAATGGTACAAACTTATCTCAGAATTCATTAAAATAACACTGTTATACATAAATCATTCATTTGCTACATAGTTTTATTTTTTAATAGAAATCAATATAAACTCGGGTTTGTGACATACATAATCATCAATACAGGAAATCATAAAACAAATAAAATACATACATGAACATGAAATGTGACATTTTATTATTAACATATATGGAACTGATGCGTGAATCAATAAATCTAAAGAGTAAATAAACCTAGAGCTTATTCAACCAATAAATAACTTTTATCATTACCAGTATTTTAACCCTTACCACACTAAATATCTTAAATGGACTTGACCATCTTCTTATCTGGATAAAACTATTCATAATATCATTATTAATAATATTTAGGGTAAATTTCGCGATATGTACTGACTGAATAACAAACAGTGCATACAATGATCAGACGGTACAGATGTGCTGGCTGATCTTGGTCCATATTGGTTACAATGGTAGAATTGTCACCAGAAGGATAAGTGTAAATTGTTGACAAATTTAACATTCAGTTAACTGACTTGTGATATATTAAACTATACAAAAGCAGACTTTATGACATAAGCTTGTGCAACTTTGGATTTATAACAGTCCATTCATAGCATTTGGAATTTATATATCAAAATGTCTATTGAATAGTCAACAGATAAGACGGGTCTGGCCCTCTCTCATGGTAGCATAGACATGTAAAAGGTGGTCACAATAAAACTGTTACAGAGCCATATAATATAACTAAAGTTCAATGCCTAAAACAAGATGTCTGATTGTTGAAATTAATTAACCATGACAGCAAAAACATTCATGAAATGCATTCAAATTCATGAAATGCATTCAACACCACTATTATGACATTTTCACAATTTTCTTTATATATATAAAATTGAACACAAAGATCACACTTGCTTATAATACTTTCATTTTATATATAATTCAAAGTGTTTAAAGCTATGTTTTTGCTACAAAAGAATATTGTTTTAATTTTAAAAATATATACTCATAAAATGCTTCTATGAAATAACAAGAGCGATCAGTAATCACGTGTCGCCTCATAATGGCCAATTTCATGTTGGGACAAATTTTGTGACAGACGGACAGACAGACGGACAGTGCACAACTAGACTTGGTACTGATCAATCATGTAAAGTTTGGATAAAATTGCACCAGTAGCTTATGAGGAGTAGTCCGGACAAGCTTTTGCGTATCTGGCAACACACAGAAAAAAACACCTTTTTATCAAAGGGCCATAACTCAGCCAAAATTCATTCAACCGGAAAACCAGTGCAATATGCACAAGGACTTGAGCTACAGATCAATCCTGTAAAGTTTCATTGAAATTGCATAAGTGGTATAAGCGAACTAGTCCGGACAAACTTTAAAAATAAAAATTATTAAAGGGCCATAACTCTGACAAAAATCATTGAACCGGAAAATGCTGACAATATGCACAACTAGACTTGGTACTGATCATTCCTGTAAAGTTTGGATGAAATTGCACCAGTAGTTTATGAGGAGTAGTCCGGACAAGCTATTGTGTATCTGGCAACACACAGAAAAAAACACCTATTTATCAAAGGGCCATAACTCGGCCAAAAATCATTCAACCGGAAAACCCTTGCAATATGCGCAAGGACTTGAGCTACAGATCAATCCTGTAAAGTTTCATTGAAATTAAATTAGTGGTATAAGAGAAGTAGTCCGGACAAACTTTAAAATTAAAAATTATTAAAGGGCCATAACTGATCATTCCTGTAAAGTTTGGATGAAATTGCACCAGTAGTTTATGAGGGGTAGTCCGGACAAGTTTTGTGACGGACGGACGGACGGACGGACGGACAGACAGACGGACAGACAGACGACGGAGAAGTGATCCCTATATGTCGCCACTACTCCGTAGAGGCGACACAAAAATGGCGGGTCTTCTTAATTGCTAAATGGATAAAATCCTACTTAAAATAGCAGAATAATATTTTATTGCAGAACATTTTATTCTGTTTACATACAATATACAGGTGTGTTAAACAATAGAGATATTATATGTTACAACTTTTTGAGAATCAACCATAAAATTATAGAACCAATTTAATTTTATTGTTGATAAATTTTATAAAATTTTTTTATAATACAGAGCTTTATAGCCTTTAAATAGTTAATAATCACTGGCATTATTCTTTACTTGCTAAATTTATAAAATGGACATGCCCAACTTTGTTATCATTAATTTGAGGAGTTTGGACATCAAAGTGCTTAAATTGAACAGCTTATAGTAAAAAGCCAGATAGTCATTCACATGATTCTAGTGCTTCAACGTTTTCACATTGCTAGCATTTGATCGACTTAAAAAAACTGAAAACATGCTTCTGATTGGCTAAAAATGGCTAAAAATGAAAAGAAAACATGTTTCTGTTTGACTCAATTCTAAATTGAACACATGTTCATGACTGACTTAACTTATAAGATGTTTCTGATTGGCTAAAATTGAAAAGAAAACATGTTTCTGATTGACAAAATTCTAAATTGAACACATGTGCATGATTGAATAAATTAAAATTATTTTCATGATTGGCTAAAATTGAAAACCTGTTTCTGACTGACTAAAACTGAAACTATGTTTAACAATGATTTATAATTAGACAATCATGTTTTTTTTTAGGCTAAATGTTTGGTTATTTTCAATAGCCAACTAAATTTTATATTGGAATCAGGAATATTATTTTCTGTTATGAAGTACCACATCAACTGGGGCATCTGGAACCATCAGAATTTGGTACTTCTGTCCAAGATCTGACGATTTTCTCCACTCAAGCCGAAAGTTTTGCAATAATTTTATTATCACTACATACATCTCTTGCTCTGCAAATCTTCTTCCTGAATATAAATGTTAAACAAATAGTGTGTCAGGTGTCACAACTTTTTACTTTGAAAATATTTGTCAAACAGAAAGAAAGGCACTTAAAAGATCATGTTCTAGCTCTGCATAAGTTATAATATCTAAAGGGCCTGTTGTAAAACAATGTTTATCTGGATATAAAATACAACAATACAGTGTTTGTAATTATCTTAGTTTATTCATAACAAGAACTGTCGGAGGACGGTAACGCTGGACTATTGGAAAAGTTGTCACAAGTGTGTTTCATTGAGTATAATAATACTTACCTATATAAATACATAAAATTGTCCGAAAAGGTACAAAGGCTTGTTATTAAGATGTTTTTTTTAATGAGTTAATCACTGCTTTATTATTATAAAATGCATAAAATTGTTCAAAAAAAAGGCACAAACCTTTCAGTAGTTATGGAGATATTTGCTTAACCAAGAATTTCTAAGTAGAAAAAGGGCATAATTATGCAAAAAAGCAAATCAGAGTTATTGGACTTGTGCCAATCATGTAAGATAATCACAGAGAACAAGTGTGTGAAGTTTCAAGCCATTCCCTTCAGTAGTTATGGAAATACCAGCTTTCACGCAAAAACTTAACCAAGAATTTCTAAGCGGAAAAAGGGGCATAATTATGCAAAAAAGCAAACAGAGTTATGGGACTTATTCCAATAATGTAAGATAATCACAGAAAACAAGCGTGTGAAGTTTCAAGCCATACCCTTCAGTAGTTATGGAGATACCAGCTTGATTGCAAAAACATAACCAAGAATTTCTAAGCGGAAAAAGGGGCATAATTATGTAAAAAAGCAAATCAGAGTTATTCGACTTGTGCCAATCATGTTAGGTAATCACAGAGAACAAGTGTGTGAAGTTTCAAGCCATTCCTTTCAGTAGATATGGAGATACCAGCTTGCACGCAAAAACTTAACCAAGAATTTGAAAGTCGAAAAAGGGGCATAATTATGCAAAAAAGCAAATCAGAGTTATGGGACTTGTGCCAATTATGTTAGATAATCACAGAGAACAAGTGTGTGAAGTTTCAAGCCATTCCCTTCAGTAGTTATGGAGATACCAGCTTACACGCAAAAACTTAAGCAAGAATTTCTAAGTCGAAAAAGGGGCATAATTATGCAAAAAAGCAAATCAGAGTTATGGGACTTGTGCCAATCATGTAAGATAATCACAGAGAACAAGTGTGTGAAGTTTCAATCCATTCCCTTCAGTAGTTATTTAGATACCAGCTTGCACGCAAAAGCTTAACCACAGGGACGCCGACAAATGGGTGACTGCATTAGCTCAATTATTCTGTGAATAGTCGAGCTAAAAATTAAATATAAATCATGTGTAGGCTTGAACAACCAAGTACTGACATTGTAAGAAAAAACATGGTCTGGAAATTATAAAGTTATTAATTAACCCACACTCTTAAATGCACAAACCTCCACAAACTAGACAGCAGATTCCTTCTTTCATTTATATACCATTTCCTTTTTTCCCCGCCAGTTTTAAAATAGAATTCGGATGTTATTTTGATGCGGGTGGGGTTGGGGGGCCGAAAAATTGGTCAACAACATTTCTCAAACGAAAAACAGTGTTTGGTGCCTAAATAGGGCATATTTTCACTGCTTGAGGCCTCAAAAAAAGAGGGGGGGGGGGACAAAAAGCCGTCAAAACACGTCTATATAAGGGAAAAGGTTAAGAAAGTTGTAAAACAATACCTGCACACATTCTTGGTCCATGTCCAAATGGTGTAAGGATGTATGGGTGTATATTCTCAGCTGAACCATCTCTCAGCCATCTCTCTGCCCGAAACTCATCTGGCTCATCAAAATATTTCTCATCTTTAAACATCACAAAATTATTTAACTCAACATGTGTCTGAAATGTACAACAAGGATTATGATTGAAATGGAATGACAAAAATAGGATTTTCTTCAATATTTTGTTTTCATGTTATAACTCTCAAAAAAAATTTTCTTTAATAACCCTTAAAATGACAACAAATCAGTTGACTTAATCTTGTTTGTTTGTTTTTTTTTTTTTGGTTTTACGTCACATCGACACAGCATAGGTCATATCGCGACGTTCCAGCTTTACTGGTGGAGGAAGACCTCAGGTGCCCTTCCGTGCATTATTTCAGGCACGAACGGGCACCTGAGTAGAACCACCGACGTTCCGTAAGCTAGCTGGATAGCTTCCTCACATGAAAGAATCCAAAGTCCCTTTCGGATTCAAACCCACAGCGGTGAGGGGCAAGTGGTTTGAAGTCAACGACCTTAACCACTCGGCCACGGACGCCCCGCCTTAATCTTGTAAGTGACACCACTTCAAAAGTAAATGTCTGATTAACTTTATTACATTCATTCTGAAATCCCTACCTAGACTGATCTACATTCAAAGTATGATAATTGCACTATACCACCTGAATGACAAAAGGTATTAACAAAGAAGCCTAATTAAATAGTTATTACTATATAATCAAGGTGTTCTCTTGTTATTTAATGAAAGAACTTACCCCAGCAGGGATCTGATAACCACCTATAGACAGATTTTGTTGAGGTATTCTTGCTACGTCTAGACCAATGGGAAAGAATCTGAAATTGACAACCCCATTTTATGAAATATTAACAAGAAACTATAGCTACAAAAGATGATTAAAAGATGGACATGACCATTTTAAGATATTTAGGGTGGTGAAATTTTCAAGTTTTGATATTAATAAATCTGTCATATTTTGCGGTTCGGGTTTCCGAAAAAATCCGTCCGGAGGGGACCCCAACCTTTGGTTGGGTTTTCCAAAAGGAGGGATTTTCGACCCCAAACCAAAAAACAATGTCAGAATATTTTCGCAAAATTCTCCCAAATTTTATTTTTCAATCTAAAATAAATTTTACCTAAAAGTTTTTTGTTCATAAAATTAAAGTAAATTTAATATAAAAACTTTTTTTTAAAAAATTAGTGAAAGAATACAAACTTTAATAACAACGGCGAAATGACGTTATCCTAACCCCATTTCCCCTTCTAAAATGAAAATAATTTTAACGGGGTTTCATTCATAAAGTGCGCTAAAATAAACGTTTGTAGGCACGGGGCTCATCGGGGCCATTTTCCCTATGCCAGTTTGTATTTGGGAAAAAAGGGCAAGGAAACGCCGGGTCTGCTATGCAAGAAACAAATATCTTTTTACTGATATGGAGAAAAGCAGCTTTAACAAAGATTATTTGGATCAGTGCATCATTTAAACTAAGCACTTTATCAGTTTAATCTGAAATTAGATTTCCTTACAAATTCTTTCATATATCTTAAACAATACCTGAAAGCCTCTTTTACAAAAGCCTTTAAATATGACATTTTGTTGATAATTTCTGCAGTTATTTGTGATCCAGGGGGAACAACTCTTTGAATTTCTTGGTATACTTTTTCTTGAGCATCTTGGTAACGACCTAGACAGTATAAATTGCTGGATAATGTTGGAGAAGTCTGCAAAAATAAAATTCAATACATCACCAAAAGCTTACTTCAATACCGTAGATAGAAGATACTGAATGAGTGCAAGTTCAATATTGAATTTATTGAACAAGTCTAATAAACTTATATTATGCGAGCCATCTATGTAGTACTGTTTTCAAAGTCTTATCAGCTGTTTCAATCTAGATAAATTATAGTTTGCCCCCTTAATTACAGCATGCTGTTAAAGTTATACATTATTATTTGTTTTTGTATTAATTAAATAATTGTTTTATTTTTTAAACAAAACAAAATGTTTCTATTTCCAGGTTAATGTCTAATATTTAACTATATTCATAGTATAGTATTCAAAAGTAATCAAAATGTAATTAATGATCACACCAAAATTTAAGCTGATACTGGTAATTGATTAAATTACGATTACTGTCTATTACTTGAAAATTATATGATTCCCATTTACCCCCAACCCTCTTCAAACTACATTTTTTTCTCACTCAAACCCTTTTCTAAACCCTTTAAAACCTTTAAGTTTTGGTTTTTATAAACCTCCCAAGCTTGGATATGAAACAGTCCATTGAAATATAAAGTATTTCAAAATCAAAATACTAGGTTACCATGCACTAGTACAGAGCCTAATCGCACTGCACAAACATACCGTGCCTGGCTCTATACTGGTGACAAAGGCTTATCACTATTGTTCCAAGCAGGTTAGGGGATTTCAATAACAGGCTGTCCAGCACCTTCTGACAAAAAATTAGGGCAAATTTTAGGGCAATTTTTAAGAAATTTTAGGGCTAAAATTTAGGAATTTTAGGGTAAATGAAAGAAATTTTAGGGCTCAAATTTGGAATTTTATACTAAATTATGGCCTCAAAAGACCATGATATGGGCTCAATTTTGCATATTTGACACAAAAGTAACTCACAAATAATGCTCTAGTTCGGTTATAGCAAAGGTGTTACCAGTGTTCCATAGTCACCAGTGAATAAATTGATTCACTGGTCAACAGCCTTTAAAAAGAGCTGAAAAACTACATTAAAACATAACTAGAATGAAAACATTTTCAAAGTTATAAAGAATCCAGGAACAACCAATATTTCAATTAGTTAAGCTATGATTAGCCAATAAAAATGCAACTTCCTTGGAAACTTTTTTATCACAATTTTAAAACAGGTGACTATTTTGATAAAGTCAAAGTGGGTACAATTTTCATTGTTCCATTTTAAAACTAACAGTTTCTTATATTTTTTCTGATAACATCTGACAATAATCAAGTAAAGATATAATAAGCCCATAATAAATGGAAGAGGGAAGTTATGCGCTTTAAATTTATTTTAGCTATAAATGCATTTCTTATTTGGGTACATTTAAAACAAGTCTTTGATCTTTCTTAAAAAACAATAAAAATGATATGACCCACTAGAGTCATTCCCAGGCATATTTAAACTTAAATTCAAAACAGCAGGATATACATCTATGAAGAATTTGTTCAAGATAAATCAGGCTACTAAAAATTGTAGAAAATTTCATTGTTCAAGATAAATCAGACTACTAAAAATTGTAGAAAATTTCATTGTTCAAGATAAATCAGGCTACTAAAAATTGTAGAAAATTTCACAACAGTGTCAGTTTTTTCAATGACTTTCAACAGTTTTTTTTCCAGATTTTAATATTACACTTTAATTATGTTATAACATATGCTCAGTATATGGTAATGTGTACAAAAAGGGCAACTGAAGGTGTCACTTTTTAGTATGCTTAATTGGGTAGCAAAATGGTTAAAGCATTCAATCATTACTGCCAGTTTACCTTACCCATTTTATAATTACCGTAGCAAATATATGGAAACTTGTCTAGATCTGCCAGCTGGTATCACTTACATAAGATCTGTGTCTACAGTCATACTTGAAAAATAACTTGATTACAAATTAAGACGTTATTAATAAGGACCCCTGCATAAAGTCTGGTGAAATTTAGTGGTGATTTGTGTAAATAGTTGCTTTAAATACACCTAAGACTGAGGTAAATGGTTAAAACTCTGTAGCCAATAAAAATATGACTTCCTTGGAAATTTTTTATCACAATTTTAAACAAGTGACTATTTTGATATAGTCAAAGTGGTACAATTTTCATTGTTCCCATTTAAAACAAACAGTTTCTTATTATTTTTTCTTCTGATAATATCTGACATCAAGTATGGGCATTTCTGCAGGAATTGATGTATATGCAACATGTGACTTATGCAATTTAGTCAGGACATTGATATCACTCCACTGACTGCGTTTGAATTTAGGTTGTGATTGAAACATGGTTGTTTCTGGATATGTTTATCACAAAGGATAAAAAAATAGGAATTTAAGTGAAAAAATAGGGCATTTTTAGGAATTCCCTTTGAATTTTTCATTTTTTTAGGAATTTTAGCCAAACTGAAAAAAATTAGGATTTTTTAGGAATTTTAGGGACGCTGGACAGCCTGCAATAAGTTTAAGCTAATATTTCAGAGAACACTTTGTTGCATGATTCAGCCAAGTCTTTTTATAAAGGGATTGATTCATGCCATTTTCAAACTTCACATTATTAACAGTATTACAGTTGACATTATTGCTTTCAGAATATATAAAATTATGAATCTTTGAGATGAAATTCAAAATCTTACTTATTTCAAGTCTATTTACTTACTGTGCTTAATCCATCCCCAAACAATGACAGTGCTATTATAGTAACATCTTTATTGTCTAGTTCTTGTTTACCTAGCAGATATGTCAGAAAGTTATATTGTCCCTCTTCAAGTTCATTATTTCTGGCAAGGTTACTAATTCTTGATATTGTTTGATTCAAATATTTCTCACTTGTCCTGAAATGGCAAATAAGAAGAGAGGATCACTTGATGATGATACATGTCAAATATTTTTAACTCTAGGCATTGTAGTTTTTACACATGAAGACTTCATGTGTTTTCCTCCTATAAGTTTATGTAAAGTAAGTTCACCCCCACGGTATGGGACCAATATTGACCCCAGGGGCACTATTCATATTACTGTTGTGCATGTACAAAATCACAAGGCAAGGCTACATATCAAATATCTTAACTTTGAGCATTCTTGTTTTACACCATTGGACTAAAATGTAAACTAAACTTTGTGACCTCTGGGGCATGGCCACTAAACCCTAAAATTAAACCCTAAAACTTCGAGAAAACTCACACTTGCATTTTTCTCATTACTATTAATATTTTTGCCAAGTAGTTTTAATTTTCTTCAATTGGTTTAAATGTTACAGAGCCGACACAAAATTGGCGACAGACTGATGAATGAAGGGACAGATGGCCATGTGCATAACACTTCGGCTAATAATAAATGGGTCATTACAAAAAACATTGACCAAAATTTGTTTTGATTTTCATGGATTTGACATGATGACACTTTGTGCTTCTGCACCTTATGCTATCCTGGCTAAGCAAAATCCACTTAACTCAAATACAGCTTCCTGATCAAGGTGACCTCTCATAATAACCTTATCCTATCACTTAATCATGCTTACTTATAAACACATTCCTCGGCCTGGCATAGTTTCTTCCAAGTTGGTGTCTTCATGACCTTGTATAATGGAAGCTGGAATTTCATTTTAGCTGACAATGTAAACATGTCCATATTAGCATCAATCATTTTCTGTACCTCGGAGTCGGGACCATCAGATAAACAATTTAAACGCCTCTGGGAAACGTATTGCAAAACAGCTTCATAAAAAAACATGTAATTTCATTTCAAAAAATTTTTATTTTTTTTTTAAAAATTTGGGTAACCTTTTATATAAAAATTTTAAATGAATTCGTTAAAGTCATTAATTTTCTCTAAAATGCTGTTTTTATATTGTAGACCATTTGCTTTTTTAAAACCCAAAAAATTTGGTAGTGATTAAATAATTTAAAAACTGAAAATTTTAAGAAAATTCAAAAACAAAACTTTAGATTGAGAAACCAGTAAATAATTGAAGCTTGCATACCCTTTGGTAAAACCTTCAAAACTTAAATTCAAATTGTCATCAGGAATGTAATATCGAAGTCTTATGTGGGAACCAAAAGTGAATGGGATGCATACAATAAAATTTGTATTTAATAATTTTATACCGGAATATTCAATAATTACAGACTACAGATTACTTAAAATGATCATACATTCCACATTCCATTTTGAAATTTCATTCCTCAGATTTTCAACACGGCCAGAATCATCTCTAATATTCTTTAAGCGCTCAATGAAATCATCAGCAACTTCTGTCACAAATGGGAGATAAACTGTGACAGCTTTTGGTCGCATCATCATCTGCTGGACAGCACTACGTAACTTGTACCATTCATCTCCATTCCTTCAATTGAGCAAAGAGTAAGCATAACTAACTTTTTTCTTAAACTACCTTTTTCGTATATAAGCATTGTTACTAAGAAGACCGTACTAAAATAACAAAACAAAAATTAAGACAATTTATCTAGAGATGAATGACTGAAACTTTCTTTATTGTATAAAAATACCACACCAAAGCTGGTAAGTAAATAAAACTTACATTTATTACTTGTCCCATGCTGAAAACCAAACTTTGTTTTAGCTTAAAACTTTTGATAACATATTTCATTATTTGCACAAACAACTTCCAAACAAGATCCATTTATATACATACCCTACATACATTTATTACTTGTCCCATGCTGAAAACCAAACTTTGTTTTAGCTTAAAACTTTTGATAACATAAAATTGTAGAGAATTTAAAAGCATTAAATGTAAATGTTATAGTGTGCAAGTTATTAGTATTTTTCTCATGGATGGTACCCATACCTGGTGCATCAATGTCATTTGCTTCTCTCTAACATGTTACTAAATAAAGCATGGAAATAAAGACAGAAACTTTACACTCATTGCTTTGTACTGGTTGGTTCTAAGAATGGATTCAATGGCATTTCAATAACAACACAATCAAACTAAAATGAACTAGTGTACAAGTAAACTTAAAACTAATAAAGCATGGAAACAACAGTTTTATTTACAGTGGCTTGTCTATTTTTATGCATTTATGATCTACGAAATCTAGAGTGCTGTCACATGATTTAGTTTTTTGGAAACAACACAACCAGGACTTCCCAACAGAGGAAACTGAGTTTGCATCTCATTATTTGCACAAAAAAACTTCCAAAAAAAGGGATCCTTTTATATAATCCCCTCCCATAAAATTTTTTTACTTTTTCCCTTTGCTGAAAACCAAACTTTTTTTTTAGTTTAAAACTTTTAAATAACATAAAATTAGTATATTTTTTATGGAGAGCCAAATTTAAAAGTTTTAAATTTTATTTTTATTTTCTTTTTTTTTACTTGGTTTTTTAAACTTTTGCACCCGGCACAGAAATTTTTTCCCAAAAAAAAGGTAAAGAATTTTTAACAAAAATTTAAGCATAACAACTCCCCTTAAATTACTATAAATCCCAAGGTCTCACAAATGTTCAGGGAAGTATTTGAAAAATTTCTTTTTTGAAAGGGCCAAATGATGTTTGTGTTTGAACCCCAAATTTTTTTTGCCCCTTTCTGTTTTCCCAAAAATCCAAAATTTTTCAAAAAAGGGCTTTTTGGAGGAAACTTTTTGGGCCAGAAATCCAGGTACTCTTGTAGGGTACCAAACTCAAATGACTTAATATCTGTTTATACTGTATAATAAATTACCCCTCAACTGTTCTGACTGAGGCAGTCATAACCTTCCATTTGAAAATAGTTAAAAGATGACCTGTGAAATACAGTCCAATCAATATGCTATTCATATCAAGATATGAATAAACTAAGTTCAATAGAGCATAGGATAAGTAATCAAGGTGTCACAGTGAGGGGGTTTCTTTTTCATAACCTTTTTTGGAATGTTAGTCTAATGGTTTAAAATTTGGGCTCTCACCCCTGATTCAGATTTACGTTTTTATTAGGTTTTGTTACTTGCGGGATGGGGTTTGGTTTTGTTATCCGGAAAATGGAAAAAAAATAAATGTAAAAAATTCAATTACGTGTTGCCAAGTCCAAAAAAGAAAAACCTTGTTTTATTTTATATACTGTTTGTTTCCTTTGAGGGGCTTTTCATGTGGGGTTTTCCTTTTTGTTTTAAACACTGTCCGATTTTAGTCTGGGTCAAAAAAAGTTTCAAAAAGGTTGTTTCCCCGCCCAAGTCTCCTTACAAATATTTCCCAAAAATGTTTATACAAAATCCATCAATGATTTTTGATTAAAACTGTCATGTTGGGATTTTTCCAAAAGGCCCTGAAATCAAGGCTTTAAAAGGGGCTACAAAAATAAACCTATTACAGGTCCTTTGGGTTTCCCTTTAACCTATTTTGTTTGGTGTTATTGAGAGATGGGAATTTTAACAAATGCTTCTGTGTGGCCGACATGGCTGAGTGGGTTAATTGCATCAAAAATAGTTTATCTAAATGAATGCTACCAATGGGGTAAACCCTGTCAGAAGGCATGTTTGTTGTTTCCTTGAAGCAAGAAAACTTACCACTCATTGCTCAGACTGGTTGGGTTCAAGGAAATGAATTTGAAAGTGTTCCAGGAATGAATTTGAAAGTGTGTCTTTAAGCTTATAGCTTCCTACACAATTGAACTAAAAATAAATACTGAATAAACCAAATGCTTCTTGTTATGCATTTATTCAATCTCTTTATTTTTCAACAAAAATACATATAGGCTAAATATTTCAATGACTGTACATTTTATCTTTTAAATAAATTGTACTAAATAAACTGAACAACAGAAACAATATAATTACAGCTTTTTCATCATATTTGAAACGTAGCGGCCATACATGTAAGATTAAATGCTCAAAAAAGTGTCAACTGTCAATATAACAGTTTTTTTCATTTTTATGATAAAGCAAAACTAATTTCCTGCGTTAATTATCCTAACATTGGAAGGTGAGTGAACTATATTTACCTCTCCTGTATTTCAACATTGTTCCAATATATGGTAGTCCTTTAGGTCCTGGTATGTCATCAAAAGGTTTAGCTTTATCATATTCTGTTCTTAAACAACCAGCACTTTCTACAGTAGTACTTGCTGTGCTTCTCCAAACTTTTTGTAGCTTTAATAAGTTTACTGACTTTAAGGTCTTCATCTTAAAACAAAGAAAGTAACAATTCTTACACTGTTTAACTTGAAATAAAAACATTATCATAACAACAAACAAGAGCTGTCCGTAAGACAGCGCGCTCGACTTTTTTATTGCTTGCCAATAAAAAAAGTTTTTGCAGTAAAAGGCAATACAAGAATCTCTGTATTTTTAAAGTGAACTAGTTGTTTGATACCCTTGAATATTACAGCAATGTTTATATGACATAATTTATGGTAAAGTGAACAAGTGGATAGGAATGAATTTTTTTAGATTTTTTAAGTTTTTTAGTGCTTGCCTATAATACAAAACATTGACAGTTAAGGGCCATAATTCAAATAAAATCTTTGACAGAATTACCTTCTCCTGGACATGTTTGGGAATCATGATTGTAAACAAGTATTCCAACTTTCAAATTAATATCTCAAACAGTTCAGTCAAAAAGTGGACTGGTACTAAAAACTTAACCAAGATTCTAAGTCGAATAAAAGGCCTTAATTTTTAAAACAAATCCTTGACAGAGTTACCTTCTCTTGCGTACAGATGGGGGTAATGATGTGAAATAGCATTAAAAGTTTCAAAGCAATATCTCAAAGGGTTAAGGCAATAAGTGGATTTTACCCATATTCAATGTATTTTCTAAGTCAAAAGGGGCATAATTCTGTCAAAAACCTTGACAGAGTTATGTCCTCTGTCTGTTGATGAAGGTCGTGATGGTAAACAAGTATGGTCAGTTTCAAAAGCAATACCGTCCAATGGTTTTGAAATAAAGTGAGGTGGTACAAAAAACTTAACCAAGCTCAATACACTTTCTAAGTCAAAAAAGGGCCATAATTCTGTCAAAAACCTTGACAGAGTTATGTACTCTTGTCTGTAGATGGAGGTTATGATGGTGAACAAGTATGGTAAGTTTCAAAGCCATACTTGTAATACTTCTGAAATAAAGTGGGGTGGTACGAAAAACTTAACCAAGGTGTGACGCCAACGCCGACGCCGACGCCGGGGCTAGTAGGATAGCTCCCCTTTTCATAGAAAAGTCGAGCTAAAAACCAATAAAATAACAAAACACAATTAATTTAAATAACATTTATTCTCTAAAAAAATGCCTCCCAGGGCCTTGGGCGGACCAATTTGATCTCTGGAAGCCCAAGCCTGTTTTCTAAACATAATCTCAAAATATGTGACATTTCAGCCAAAATGTTTTAATTTCTTTCTTTCAATAGATACAAAGTGGATGGGAAAATTTTAAATTGATACAAATAAGTGTGACCTTGAATTTGACATGAAGGTCAAATCTGGTTTCTGTGCATTGTCTCATTTAATATGGTTATAATTAAGTAATTTTAATTTCCTTCCACTAGTTTAATAGAAACAAACTGGATAGAAAACTACTGCTAGGAGACAGATATGACTAAGTGCATAGCATTAACATTATACAGCAAAATTTTTTTCGGGCATATAATAATAAAATAACGAATCTGGAAACCAGACATTCTTAAAATTTGAATACTCAGACAATTTTTAAAGTCCTGTCTCTTTCCTTCATAAATTCATCAGAAACATATCCTCTAAGTATCAAACCCTCTAAACTCTAAAAACAAGACCATTTCCCATGGAATTTAATGCTTATAAACATACATAAAATACACTCTGTAAAGTAGACAGTAATAAGTTTAAGCTCCCTGAATATTCAAATGTCGATTTAAACATAAAGCCAACAGGTTACATATTCAGTTACCAATAATCACATGTTTTATCTATGACATTTGTTATTGTGCATATGCCAATTTTGTAATGGCATTTGAATTCCGGCTGTTTAACATTATGTGGTTATAAATGGGAAATAATAATCAATAAGTTTACAAAGTGTGAGTACACGGGCTGGGAACTAAGGCTGTACAGGGATTTTTTTAAGCTTATATCATAGCCGATATTCAGTCATATTTCCAATTGAAAATAGTATATTATTTTCCCAAACCACAATTCAAAGTTACAAAATAAAAATATTGAATAAAAAATTATAAAATCTTTAAAAACAAGGGCTTTTTCACTGGTATGGTGCTTAAATGTTAGAAGATGCCATCTTAGACAGTGATTCTTTGCATTCATTTAATCACTGCAAAGTTTAAGTCATGCATTTTTCCCAATTTTTGACAAAACATCGCTGAAATGCCTAATTCCATGGGTATGGGTCATGTACCAAAATCCTGGGGAAAAAAACTGCCATAGTAAGGGTCAGTAACAGATTACAAGACTAGAAGAGTATAGACACATTCTTAACCTGAAATGCTGAAAAAATATTAAATATGAGAAAAAAATGAAAATAATGATCATTTAGCATTGCGTCAAGAATGTTTATATAATTAGCAGTTGATTTTCTGTCATATTATGTACTAGATGCTGCATAATCATTATGTGTTTACATTGCAAAAATGTGTAAAAAATAGCTAAGAATGGTAATATAATGATTTGCCACACTGATGATTCGCCCAATAACTAATCGCCCCATTTAAATGTGTGTGTGTTTTAAATTTATTTATACTGGGCGCAGGCTATGCCATATGTCCCAGACTATCACCTCTGTTACGTCGCTGGTCATACAGCCGCAACAGAGGACTTAGTTTAATCACCTTTATACATGTACATCACTGAACATGGAGCTGCAAAGGAGGTCTTCTCAAGTTGTCTATCATCTTCTCCCTAGGACCAATTTCTTGTAGCACAGAACAAAAGAAGACCAATTGTTAAAAGGCACCTCTTCCGGGAGGCAGCAGACTCTTATTAGCGTCACATCCTATGCTGTCAGTGATTTTTTTCAATGTATTTTACAGCCGAATAAAGGCTGTTTCCCCTAGCCTAAAATAGGTATATTTTCCCCTAAAAATGCTAATATTTTCCGCTAAAATGCCTCGTGCTCTTCCTTACCAGAACCATGACTTAACAGCATCTGACTTAAATCATCTAGAAGACAGAAATCTGTCCCTATAGATAGCTCTGCTATGTACCATGCATGTTTAAATAAATTGAAATTAATTTATATATAAACTGTGTTGGTAAATTCCATTTTCAGTTGTTGGAATTTGATTTCAGGTCACCCTCTTATCTGATTTATCGCACTCTATTTTCCCCTTCAGAAAGCCACAGGTTGTTTTGAAAATTGGAAAAAAAATCACTGGCTGTTAGGTCAAACCAGCAATGTGACCTATGCACTCTGAGGGACATGCACACCACCAAAAGATGTCAGAGTCCCATTTTAATGATAATTCACCACACTTTATAATGCCTTTCTTTATTATGTGGATTGAAAAATGTGTATGGTAAAGGAATTTTGTTTATATTTGACATGCTTTTTATAAGGTATCTGTCCCGGAGGTGTAAATATCTAAAATAATCTACTTTGCAGCCAGAAATTTTACATTTTTATATAATCTTATTGTCAAGTTATTATTAACTATTCTAGAATGCTATTATCCCCATATGGTAATATACACTAATCCGTTGATTGGTGCCCTATAGTGCCCCTTCCAACTAACAATTATCGACAATAATTCAGATCAATTAAAAGATTAATTGTTTACCCCTGGGCCCTGTGGCTTCCTGAGTGAAGGTGTCATAAACTGGCCAGCATAAATTGAATCTGCCTGCAGGCAATTATAATCGCCATTAAGGGTGTACGGACATAATCCCCTTCGGACAAAATCCCCTTCATGCATTTTTGTATATCTGGACATAATCCCTTCCATGGGTGGACATAATCCCCTTCATGTGTGAAATTTTGAAGTGGACAAAATCCCCTTCATAAAATTGTTACCTAGGACAAAATCCCCCTTGGATTATAAAGTGTGTAAGAGAGCGACATACTGCATAATGCTGTGAGGTAAATATCTTAATGTATAAATAAGTAGAAATTGTTTCAGCAGAAAAGCACATTCAATTAGCACATTTTAATAATATTAAAATCACATTAAAATTGCTTTGTTAAAGCTTTCATAACAATCAATCAAGTAGGTACAGTGATCTTGGTTTGATTAAATTATCACTCATTCATCAATAGAAATTGTAACAATGGATAGTATGTATCAATTAGAATTATCAACTTATACAATCAATGAAACAATTATTGGCTAAAAAAAATGTTTTTCATACTAATCAATTTAAAACAATTAAAGAAATTGCCTAATCAAATATGTGTTATGCAGTTGATAATTTACCATAACTGAAAACTTCTAAACTAAATAAAGGTTAACTATTGATACATAATTATAAATAAAAAAACAAAAGTTCATTATTCATCAATTTTTAGGGAGTATAGTAATACATTATTCATAAATTTTTATGGAGCATAATAATACATTAGAAACCTATGAAACAAGGGGATTTTGTCCGGGTAGTGAAGGGGATTTTGTCCAGCCTTGCAAAAACATGAAGGGGAATATGTCCACCCATGAAGGGGATTTTGTCCGGACAGGCGAAGGGGATTTTGTCCGAAGGGGATTATGTCTGACATTCGCCATTAAGTGCTCAAACACTGTGAAAATTACTGCTAAATATGAGGTGATAAAGTCTACAGGAATCTGTGAACGTTTCAGCTATTGCGACCAAACAACATGGCTAATTGTCCTTAACATAGCTTTATTCTATTATGTGACTGATTGAATTTACGAAGCCTTAATACTTTAAAAAAGATTGAAAAACTGTTAACAGTTTGTCTTGTTTTGTTGTGATTAAATTGCTAGTTGTAAATACCGATAATATAGGTTGTATGCCACTATGTAAATTTTAGAAACAATTTAGTTGCTGATCAATGCCCCCCCCCCCCCACCTCAAAATGAAAAATGTCCAGGAAATAAGCCTAAAAATTATGGCATGTATGTTTGTTTGATTGGGTTTTACGTCACACCGGCACAGTATAGGTCATATGGCAACATTCCAGCTTTACTGGTGGAGGAAGACCTCAGGTGCACTTCCTTGCATATTTCAGGCACAAACGGCCACCTGAGTAAAACACGAGATGTTCTGTAAGCTTGCTGGATAGCTTCCTCACATGAATGAATCAAAAGTCCCTGGCGGGATTGGAGCCCACAGCCGTGAGGGGCAAGTGGTTTGAAGTAAAAAACCTTAACCACTCGGCTATGGACGCCCCATGGCATGTTTGTATATAAGATAGTATTTTTCAAAGCATACCACGAAATGGAAAACTTATCTTTTTCAGGATATACATAGAATATACATCTAACCTAAACATTCATTTAAGTGGGCAAATCATTATTATTTTTAATATTGATAACCCAACAGTTAAAGTGTCCAATTTTTGTTTTTACAGATAGATACGAAAACATTTTATTTTACAAATACAACAAGACATATTTTAATTTTATTATTTCTTAATTCTAATTACTAAAAGAAAGTTTCAAATAATTATTTTGAAGTGGGGCGAATCGTTATGGGGCGAATCGTTATCAATTAGATTAACGTAGAGAAATGCAAATTCTGTCAATCAATTTGCAAATTCTAAAATCTACATCAAACGAAATTTACTTGAATATACTGAAATCACCTCGAGAATGAACGTCCTCAACAGATGGCAAATGTGCGCTTGTGTTTAACATTAACTTTGCACTTTCTATTTCTCGCAAACAAATGGCGACTTACAAAAAAGGGAAGTAACTCGCACCAGAGACAGATAAGAGAGATAGGCAACTAAGAGAGACAGGCAACTTCCTGGCCAGTTAAAATATCAGGCATGCTTCTTGTAGCAAGTAAAACTTTTTAAACAGATATCAAAATCATTAAAATAATACATTTTCTGAAAGCTTATGCATTTGTCTATGGCTGCAGGTCCCATTTAAATAAATGATACATCAATTTTTAAAGAGAACTATTTATTAATTTTTGTTCCTAAATGTTATCTACATCTCTGGCCTAATAATGTAACTTTCTGTCAGAGCATGTTTTAAGCATATTGGTTTCCCCTATTTCCAAAACATTTAGTAATAAATTATCAGGATAAATACGGATCACTTTAATAAAACATTCGATATCTTAATTATCTCTTCTGTATCATTCTGAAAAATAAACTGATATTCGATAAAAAAATCATTTAGCGAGCTCAAATAATAAACACATTTATTATTCATATGCAAAGAGACAAAAGACATTTGATATACTAAAAGTAGAAGTCCATGCTCGGTTAATTAATACCGATATTCCGACGCAGAGTTAAAAAATATAGTTTTTATGAAATATAAGCGGTTAAATATTACATGTATCAAAGGATTCAGTTGAGACATTTTAAACTAATGACCGATATGCCATTTCAATATAATATGTTTCATTACACGACATTAAAATCATTAATAAGTAATGCAATTCATATTTTTTACTGAACCCTTCAACATTAAATTAATATTGATCGGTCCTATGGGAAATTTCCCGGGGAGATATGTCTTGTAATGAAATTCACACGTGCTGCTTCCGCTAAATGTGAATATTTTTTATATATATTTTATCATAGAATGAAACACACGAGTATATTAGCATATAAAATAGAAATAATGACCATACTAAGAAATGAATCAGATTGTTTACGACATATATCTAACATATAATTTAGTGCGCGAAAACTCAATATTGCAAATTGTTGATGTCAGTAATAATTTTTCAAGATAATTTGATGTAGGTCTAGAACAATAGCTTGTGTACAAAACACCTCACACATGGTAAAATACTGTTTTGTTTCATTGCAAAGATTTGGAATAGAATACCATTATATCTTCTAATTCTCTGACATCATAACATATCTTGCAGATCACATAAATCTCTTCATGACTGTGTCATCATGTTTTTGTATTTTTGTTTTGATTATTATGAATGTATATTTGTTAAATTATTTGTACATAAAATTGTATGATGAAATTAAATAATTAAAAGGAAAGTTTGTCAAACCAATGAAATTATACTTATGTAAACTGATACTAATTTAAATATAGATTGGCTCAATGGAATTGTTGTTTGATGAGGTTGTTCTTTGTCTGTTTGATATATTGTTAAGAAGGCCACATTTAATATTAAATATGTATTTTTATGATGGTATATTTTCATGTATTACCTTCTTTAAAGAAATATATTATATAATTATCATCATCATCATTATGACTATTATTATGGCCACCATAACCGTTGCACGGAACTATGTGACAATCATATCGTTGTTCATACTTTCAGGGCAGATTTGCCCGTCACATGTTATTTAACTGGGCACTGCACCTGAATGTTCAGAAACTTTCTCAGACTGATATCGCTAAAATTTAAATTGTGTTCATTGACAGTATATGGTCCCCTTTCGGTACCAATTGCTTCAAACTGATGTTGTTTTTTTTTAAAGTAATATATGTAAATGTATAACGGAGGCCACTAGCTGACACGGCCAGAATGATAAGTTTTTTTTTCTGAAAAAAAATAAACAACGTCATGGACATACTATAAAAATCTCCGGACTTAAATGTGATAGAATATAAAGTGGATTATCTGAACCGCCTTGTAAATGGACGGGTGCAGCGTCACTGACCTTCACCCATTTCAACAATTGTCGAGAGAGTGCAAATACACTCCAAACTATGTGCAGGTTACTCCATTGTCATGTCATGACGCTGCTAGGCTGTCGTCAACACTCAGTGTGAGCATACCTCGCAATAAATATTATAATAATTACCACTGACATCTTCATTTTGCAACACTTGTTTTTACATGCACCAATACATTTATTGGGCACGTGCATTTAATTTGTGTCTGTCTTGATATTAAAGGGAATAATTACACTGAGGTTTTTTTTTTATTAAATGACGGGACTGGAAATAATTTTACAAGATTACCCATTTGACCTAGGTCTAGAACAATAAATTGTGTGCACACTTTCAGATCTTTCGCTAACTCACTTAAATTTTTAAAGAATAATAATTCCAATTTTGAAAAAAAAAATCCAAAACTAAGCAAAGGCTTAACTATAGCACAGAATTACAATTTTTAATTTATTTCTCTGAGTATATTTCTTAATTATCTTTTGCATGTCTTTCTGTTCAGTTGATCTATGTAAGAAATTTAAATTCTACTTTTTAAGCTTTTGGACCTCATCGAAGTTCCCTTAAATATACAGAATAAAATAGTATGTATGTCTGTCATCTGTTTTTATTGAAAAAAAAATCAACATGATAAACCAATATTAATACATGCACGCTATTAAATGTATTATGATGCATTAAGCGTTGTATTGCACTTGTTGCGATTCATTTACTTTAAATTCTGTATACATGTATACTACTACACACTATCTAACTTTACACTCTTGTCATACATAAAACAAAAATACCATCTTTGTAACATATTGAAGACTTAAATTGGGTTTCATCAGTTTTAGTGCAGATTTACTTGCATACTTTTATATATATTTATCAAACTTACAAAAGTGGTAAGAAATGAAAAAGTCGTTGGTTTGGAATAATAATAATAAACAGAATCAAATAAAATCATAAAAGAAATGAAAATCATAAAAGAAGTGATACATGTATTTGAAACTGCTGTTTGCCAGTTTTTATCAATTATACAGTAGATGGGTCTCAGAAAAACCCTCAAATTTAGTCATATATATTAATGTTTGGTTGTTTTATCACGAAGTCTCATTATGTCTCAGATATGATATTGGTGAATCACTAACGTATGAATAATAATAAAAAATCAGAGTTATTCATATTTTGTCTTTTTTTTGTAAGCAAATAATGTTAAATGACCCGGGGCGGATGTTCAAATGACTGGTGTATTAACGCTAAAAGCTTCCCTTGCAATTCTGCTTCGCTTGTTTCCAGTTCATTTAATGCTACGTCAGGTGACAGCCGACAATCAACAGAGATAGACAAATAAATGTTCCCAGGCAACACAAGTAACCAGGTTAAATGATATATAGACTTATTCCATTAGGTAAAGATTCACAACAAAACTAATTTGAAAAGAAAAATTAATATATTTAATCTCAATTTTACATAGGCAACTGACGTTATACATATGTAATCAGTATATAAAGAAGAATTTACTGATTACATGTAACAAAAAAAAACATGTTTATATCTTGTCAGTTTAGGTATAATTATACTCGACAACAAGTATACAAAATTTTAATGCATTTAAATACAAAAAGCGATTACTAGTATTAAGAACACTTGGAATAAAATAACAATAGTTTTGGAACAAGTAAAATATCACAATGCATTCGTGTAAGACACTTAAGACCAGGACAAAAATGCAGAATTCCAAACACAACGGACATATATATTCCAAATGGTAGTTTTAACTAACATATAATTCATTTCCGAAAGAGTCTTCGAATACATGCAGATGTAATTGCTGCGTTCTTAGTTACACCATTTTCATATTCAACTGTCGAACTCTGCTGAAGCTAGTGCCAGAGGCATGGACAGTGGCTTGTACATGTATTGATTACTAAATATTTTATAGCCGGCTGGTACCTTTTATTTCCATCATGAAATGCACGTGTCTCGAAAGAACTAAATAAAAAATTGTGCAAAACCTACACATATAGACAGAACGCAAAAACACTGCAGAGTCCAAGTTATTTAGATATAACATTAACAATATTAACAAAAAGCTTATAAAATTTAACAAAGACAACCGGGGTGTACAATAGCTATTCAATTTCTCATACAATTAAAATAATAGCTTGTTAACAAAGCATATACATGTATATACAATTTATTATGTAAATTGGTATCAAGCTTAAATAAATTAATCTTTTACATTATCTTTTTTTAATTATGACTCATACAAGTCATGAGGAAAATACAATTTGAATTCTTCATACATTTATCAGTCCAAATTTTCCATATGTGTAGTTATTTTCTACATCAAAACCATATTTTACCCTGTCATCAGGCTCTCATAACACGGTGGGGCATCTTCGTTAGGTGGCGGTGCTGTAAAAAAGTTGGCACATTGGTATACATATATGTAAAGTGAGTTGCATGAAGAAATGAGATTGCCGTTTTAAAAATATTTTCGTTGTAAATAAAGTTGTAAATTAAAGGAAACGGTCAGTTGATTATAATGATTAATATATTATCCACTCTGAAAATAGGTCCGTCTTAAATTGTAAACATTTATTGAGCAAACTTAAAAAGTCACGTACCTATAATGTACTTCTGTTCGTTTAGCAGCTTGGTACTTTGATAAGAGTATTTTGTACATTTATTATAGAAAGAAAAGAAACAATACGAACAAATGTAACGACTCATGACATAACTACTTTCACCAGATTTTTACCACAGGCTCATGAGGTGTGGAGCTACAAACGCCTTAAAATCCAAATAAAATGTATATTTGTCAATCCCAGCATATATTTTTATTATCATATATTTGTAGAAAAATCTTTATATAAGCTGTTTTGAAAAAAAAATCATATTTCGACATCTATAATATGTTGAAATATGATATTTTTTTTCAAAACAGCTTATATTAAGATTTTTTTTTTACATATATAAGTACATGTGTAAGGCTTTTCGGGTTCCATAACCCAAGTGTCTATGGCTTTAATTTTATAATAGAACGAGATACCTGTTGGCTGTATCAAAGGTTGGTTACTATCAGGTTGTTGGCTACCGTGGTAGATAGGTGTTGCTATTTGCATAGCATGAATTTGGTAACTTGCTGGTAATTGATTGGTCCTAGATACTGGATGATCCGACTGGTTGACGGATGAAGGCTGGTATAATGTGTTTAAATATGTGCCTGGAATGTGTTCAACAATTAAAATTAACAAGCAAAAACTATCTTACACTATATATACAATGTTTTTTATTTGTGAATTACTCTTTTTCCTAATTTTTTTTATACGATCACCACATAAGTTAGCAATCCTTATTCTTATCGTTGCATCTTATTCAAGGCATCGGCTTAAAAGGTATTTTCTAAAGGCGACTTTGCTTTCCGCAGGATAAATAAGCAGGATTCTACACTTGTTTACAAACAAAAACATCCAACTAGAGAAAAAAGCATCTTAATATCTATACAAATGAATCCGCCAGAAAGCAATTATATTAAAACCTGCAGAACAAAGTGATCCCGCGGAAGCATAAACCACAACAAAATTACACGGAAATAGCAGACTCGATTTGATTGAGTCGAGATCTGTACGTGAGGGATAATGAATAAGTGCAACATCCCTCACGCCCCACAACACCGGCTTGAGCGGTACTCAATTATCATGGCATCAATGATCCCAAAGGACCAGAAAAATATAACTGAATAAACCTAATACAAAAATACAATTAAACGGTTTGTGTGTGAAAAATTATTTTTTATTATCCATATGAAAGAAAGTGAAAATAACTCATTTACTAGGAAGTACGACAGCTGCAGACGACGTCTGATATTGTACTACTCCATCTCTTCTTTCTCTTTTCTTTTTTCTCAGCCAGCAAGTACAAACAATACTTGACACTATACAAATTAACACAGCAGGGGCTAACGCAACGAGAAATATGTTTAAACCCGAGCGCCAGAAACCACCAGACCCTGTGAAAAGAAATATGAAATCGAATATAAAAAGAGCCAGGCTATTTGCTCGACCTTTTCTTATATGTTGAGTGAAACACATCGGAGGAGGTATATTGTAGTAAAGACTTCTCCTAGAAAACATTGTTTTTGGTACAAAATACAATTCAGAATTCATATTTGACTTTGACGCTTAAGGTAATTCAAAGGTCAAGGTAACATATGAATAAAACATTAAGTCAGATTTGTCTTACTTTATTTGTTTTTTGTTGTTGCAAGAATGACTTACAAAGAGCAAGTATTCCAAACTAGTAATGTAGTAGAGAATTTTTGTTCTTATGCACTGCATTTATCCCCCAAGAGGTGAAGTTTTAAACCGATACAGCATATCCTGTCTTTGGTAATGCCGCAGACAATTTTGTATGTAAAATAAAAAAGGGCATATAAAATTGAAAGCTTAAGTTCTTAGCCACTTTTTTTCCTCCCAGATATGATCAGTCAATTCTTGAAGTTGTTATAATGATATCTTCCTTTCTTCTCGAGTAGTGTCCAAGGCAATGAAAAAAATATTCAAAGAGCAAAACTCAAAAAATGTTGCAAAATACATGTAGAAAATCGTTTCTTTCACACTGAACTTCTCAATGAGTTGTAAAAGCATAAGTTATATGTCATAGGTTAAAAATTGAATAGCCTGGAGAATAAAATTAAAACTAAAAGTGACGGAAGATCAGAATAACAAACATTTTGGGATTATGATTTTTTATGTGTCATTCCCTATTATATCAGTCAGTAAAAGTGAATACTTTATCCGAATGTGATATGCGGGTATCTTCTTTATGGGCGGCATGAAGGGCATAAACCATAGCATGTTTGCCTGCTCGGACCCCTTGGGATAATAAAAGTACTCCCTTTAACAAAAGAAAGCAAACAAAATAATGTTATAAATAAAATTGTATGACATAATATAAGCAATTTATTCAATGTTATGTTAAATTTTAAAAGCTTACTCTCTTTCCGGACCACTCGTAATCTAATATAGTCAGATGATACGGTAGAAGGTTTTCGTATTACCACGAAAACATTTTGAACATATTCGCTGCTGCACCATTCATTTACTGTTGCATTGTGGCAAAGTATTCTTTTCTATAACAGATTGGAAATAGTGTTTTAGGACATTGTAAATATTATCATATTATGTAATATTTGTATAAAAGCCATAAATCGTTACCAGATAAAAATACATTTTTCTCACCCTTTAAAATTTTTATTGTAAAATGAGACAAAAGACGGACAGGCTCATCATTTAGTAATACATGTCAACAATTTATCAAAGACCAGATAGTTAAACATTTTTAAAGGACTGACGGTTTAAATGCTTGATTTTCCATAATTAAATAAACTTAATTCCATTTTAATACTTTAATTAACGTACAATAACACACATTTTGAGTAAATCAGTTAACAAAATCACTTACATATTTTTCAATGAATACAATTAAAATTGCAAAGTCTAGCTTAAGCAGATGATTTCGTAACAAAATACAACAATGGTTATCTGTATAATGCTTATTCTTGTTTCATATTAAACGTTTATTGTAATGTATAGACATAATGAAAAATGTATATTTGTAATTTCTGCTTATGTTTTCTTCAAATATTTTAACATTACTTACCTCTGGGGTGAAATAACTTTTTACATAGTGTTCATGAAACTCTAGTTCAGTGCCACAATTTATGGAAATTTCCAGCGTAGAAATACATAGAATATAATCAGTAGTCTCCTCATTTGTGAATTCTATTGAGCACGGGCTACTTGACAGTATTACAGACCCATAATACTCAAGATATGCAGACTTCCGCCATGACATACTGTATGTTTTTCCACATTGACTGTTTGTGATAGCTAAATGCGTATCTGTAATAACAGGGAAGACATGTTTTTTCCGAGTGAGTCATTTTTTTCTTTTCTTGTATTTTATGTCAGCGTCATTGATTTAATATCATGTTAATGTACACGAGGGCATGATTTAAATAAGTTTTTAGAGGGCCCTAAATCTAAAGTGATGCTGCATGCCAATTATCTAAACTCTTGGCTGAGACGAAGTTCTTTCAGACAATTTAACTATACCCGCCCAGAGAACGGCCATTTTCTAACTAATGGGTAAAAAGTTATAGGTTGAAAAGGTTTAAGTGATAAAGGGAATCGTATTCCTTACATTTGACCGACTGATCTCAAAATCACTAGAGGAAATCAGCAAGTCATGACTTCCCTCCACACACAAACCTCAGGAATTTCACGGCTCATGATTTTTAAGAGAAAAAGAGATTCAATTATTTTCTATGTACATAATTGGAAAACCTATGACCCATTGGACCTCCACAAAGCCATTATTTGAATTATTTTGGAAGAGGTAAACTAGACACTGTTTAATTGCAAATATGTTGAGCTTTAGCTAGCCTTTGGACTTTCAAAAAGAAAATCTTTGACAGTTTTACTGTATAAATATAAGGAAATCTAATGTTCCCCTGACATGGCTATTCTGGTTCCATGACCATAAACTCAGTAACTTTGGAAGATCACAAGATGATGTTTTATGCCAAACTCTAATATCTAGCTCTTTCAGTTTTAGAGATTTTTTTTGAAAGTCCTAAATACATACACAAACCCATGACCCCGATGCTGGACAAACATTGACCATATGTTCTTAATGTGACCAATCTTGATAGAGATTCGTGACATGATGTTTCATGCCAAATATCCAACTGGGACTTCCCAGTCATCATTCCTGTGTATTTTTGTAAATATATCCCCAGTCACTTGTTTCAGAGGCGAAGTTGTTTCAGAAATTGTTGACGACGAACACCGACCTACGCTGTACGGAAGGGGATAATTAACAAATGAAGGTTTTCAGATGAAATAGCAGAGTAAGTCTACACCTTACCATTGAAACGAACATGGTTGTATTAGAAAATATTACAAGAATGAGGAGTATAGTCATAACAGATAATATATTGTCGTTACATGTATACAGGTATGCTTGAGAAAAGTATTCAATAATGTTGACAATGAATTAATGTAATAGAAATTACCCCTTAAGGATTCAACCAGTTTGAAAAAGTAGAATAGTAGGAATATGGTGATCCACTTCCAATCAGTTTGTTTGATGTTACGCTTGAGGTACATTATTGTCGCTGTATCTTGAATCGCATCATAAAGTAAAACCTATCGGAAGCAAACATTATTACAGTGATTCACTGAAAACTAGAAATGTGTTCATAGGTCAAGGACGCCCCTAAATTCCAATGTTTTGTCAGACAACGGGACAGCGGGAAACGAGGACAGACGTAGACGGGCAATTCTATATCCTTTCTTTAAGTACGGCCATATCAAAACAAGACTTAGACAATGTGGTTTAAAAAAAATGAAAAGTCTCAAATTTATTTTATTTTTGAAATCCATCTATCAATAGATGCATTTATATGAACAGTACTTTTATCGGGAGAAATATTGGTCTAGAAAATAACTAAATTTAATTTATAACTTAATGATGTCTATCTACGCACATATCTAGCTCTTATTCAATAATGAATATGTCTAAAATTCAAACCTGCCTGTTATCTAGAGCGTAAACTATATATACATTTTTGTACATTGTACATAAATTATCCAGTTAAACACTGTTAAACTTGTTAAGCCTACATTCTGTCACGGAAATTGACGTGTATATTCTAGAAACGGTGACATCTATTTATTTCACAATTAAACCCCAAAACGATGTCATCTACTAGTACTTATTTCGAAATTTAACACGAAAGTTAATATTAAAATGCAAATAATGGCGATATATTACAAAAGGGAGACAATTCACGGGAAAAGGCTTTTTCTACATACTTGGTAGTACTTAGTGGTATGCAAGAATTAGACAACTCATTAATTTTTTATATCATAATGATAATCAGAATTGGTGTAAACAAATAAAAAGGACCACATGTGCACAAATTTGATATGGAATAAAAAAACGAAATGCTAGTTTTGCTTGAATAAATTAAATGTCAGATGTGTAAAATATCAGATAATACGTGCTCTATAATGTAAAAAAGAAAAACATTAATGCATGTAATTAAGTATGTATCTGTTCGCGAAATCAGCTTTTCTTACTATCCTTCATGGTCTTCATTAGCGATTATGGCATATCTTATCAGAAAAACAATGAAGAATGGCAAACCTTTTGAAAAATAGGCTTTTTGATTCTAGTCTTTAGAAAACAGAACATTTCATTTATGTGAACGTGATTGGCTTATTTCTGGTAAGTTGCTAAGTCTGATATGTTTGTGTGGCTTAGTCTACTTTGTAGACAGTAAATGTCGACTTTTTACAGAAAAAACTCGTGATTAGCTATAAGCCGCGACATTTGATACAATTTCGACATAAAATCTCGCGGATTGTGGATTGCCCTCGACTTTTTATAAACTGATGGTAAAATTTCTCGCGGATTTAAAATGGACGCTACCGGCCTGCATATCTTACAGATCTTATAATTGCTTCATAACTGTATTGTAATATAAGCGTGTCGTAATGAAGTTGAATTGTAGATAAGTTGCGTTCCATGATAAAATGGGGGTAAACATGCGCTGCATTGTTAGCTCACCAGAGCCGAGTATCAAGTATCAAAGGGGGATGCTCCGGCGTCCGTCGTCATTCGTCAACAATTATTGTCTTCTTCTCTGAAACTACTTAGCAGATTTACTTCAAATTTGGTCTGTAGAATCCTTGTGACAGCCACACTTGAATTTGCTCATGTTATTCCAATTGGCCCCTTTTAAGGGTCAGCAGAGCTTAAAATAGAAAAAACCTTTAAACATCTTCTTCTACAGAACTAATGGATGGATGATCACCAAACTTTGTCTGTAGCATTCTTGGGTAGTCTTTTATCAAGTTTGCTCATATTAATTTGATTGGCCCCTTTTAGGGGTCTCTAGGGCTAAAAATAGAAAAAGACCTTTAAATATCTTCTTCTTCAGAACTAATGGATGGATGATCACCAAACTTTGTCTGTAGAGGTAGCATTCTTGGGTAGTGTTTTTTCAAGTTTGCTCATATTAATTTGATTGGCCCCTTTTAGGGGCCGCCAAAGCTAAAAATAGAAAAACCTTTAAACATCTATTTCTGCAGAACTAATTAATGGATGATCACCAAACTTTGTCTGTAGCATTCTTTGGTAGTCTTTTATCAAGTTTGCTAATATTATTTTGATTGGCCCCTTTTAGGGGTCTTTAGGACTAAAAATAGAAAAACCTTTTAACATCTTCTCCTACAGAACTAATTGATGCATGATCACCAAACTTTGTCTGTAGCATTCTTGGTTAGTCTAGCTTTTATCAAGTTTGCTCATATTAATTTGATTGGCCCCTTTTAGGGGCCGCTAAAGCTAAAAAAAAAGAAATACAGTGTCTATTTCTAGAGAAATAATTGATGGATGATCACCAAACTTTGTCTGTAGCATTCTTGGGTAGTCTTTTATCAAGTTTGCTAACATTATTTTGATTGGCCCCTTTTAGGGGCCGCAAAAGTTAAAAATAGAAATATCTTTAAATGTCTATATCTACAGAACTAATTAATGGAAGAACACCACACTTTGTCTGTAGCATTCTTGGGTAGTTTTTTTATCAAGTTTGCTCATATTAATTTGATTAGCCCCTTTTAGGGGTCTCTATAGCTGAAAATAGAAAAACCGTTAAATGGTCGAACATCATTTCCTACTGAAATAATTGAATGTAGATGATCACCAAACTTTGTAGCATTCTTGGGTAGTCTTTTATCAAGTTTGCTCATATTAATTTGATTTGCCCCGTTTAAGCTAAAGCTTAAATACTTCAGGTCATGGCATTTCTTCAAATTATTGATTAAACATATTCTATGCTCAAATTTAATATTAGAATATATTGACATTCCAACACTGAAAAGCAGTTGTTTCTGGTGAGCGACTCAGGGCCATCATGGCCCTCTTGTTCTTGTATATATTGTATACCGGTGTCCAAGGACGATATATGTATATATTTAAACCCTTCTCAATCTATTTTTGGAAATGTAATGATTTTTTTAAGTTGAAAAACTATATTGAAATTATAAATATCATTCACGTGTATGATCGTAAAAACATTTCTTAAAATAAACTAGTGAAAACAGTCTTTTAAATTTTGTTTTGAGAAGTTGAAACAGTATTTTATTATTATGATTATTTTGTAGCACTTCGGACTAGTATATTTTTATCGGAAAGAAGATGCTATTTTGGATCGGAAATTGGGCCTTGTATTTGCTCCCGGTGGTAAAATCGCCTTCATTACAGTCCAACAGTCCCAAGATCAGCAAACGTATATAGATACAATGTATATGGCAAATGTGGCCCGGGTGGGGGTAGACTTCTCATGAGTAATGAAAAGAAGAAAAAAACGTAATTGTTTCAGTTTCAGTTTTTATTAAACCAAGGCATATAATATGCAACTGGTTATAACAAACAAACAGAAAAATAACAGTCAAAAATCACTAATATCACAATATAAAAATACAATTATGACTAGCTAAATAAACAAAAAGGAGATCATATTGTTCATTTCAAGTACTGAACACAATACAACATGTATTTTATATTGTAACAAATGGGAACGGAGAATGAGAAGTATTAGTTATCTAAATTTTAACATAATGTTTTTACAAAATGGTGAAAATTACAGACTCGGTATGTAACGGGGAGATATTTATTCAAGGTAAGATTAGATAAATCTCGTGGGTGGTTACGACAGCAATTAGAATCGAACCCGAATATTTTTCATTCAAGTCGTCTTCTGCTCATTGTGATTTTGAAAACACAAGAGTCTGAAAGCATTAGGGGATTTCAACTAAATAAGGGCAATATGCTTCCTTTGTATTTGATAACAAATGAATTGATATTAAGAAATATGGACCGCGTCACGACAAAACCAACATAATGGGTTTGCGACCAGCATGGATCCACCCAAGCCTGCGCATCCGCGCAGTCTGGTCAGGATCCATGCTGTTCGCTATCAGTTTCTTTACTTGTTGTAGCATTTGTAAGCGAACAGCATGGATCCTGAACAGACTGCATGGATGTGCAGGCTGGTCTGGATCCACCTGGTCGCAAACCCATTGTGTTGGTTTTGTCATATGCATGACACGGCTCATATAGATTTCTGATTTCCGAGCGATTTAATTTACATTCCAGGTAACCGTTACCTGTAGGAGCTTCATAGACTCGTAAAAGAAAAATGGGCGATCATTTACTGTTTTGTTTGGCTGTGGATTTTACATATGGGTCTCTAGTTAACATTATTGTTACCAGAAAGTTATCAAACAACCGACCGAAATTTACGACACATTTAAACGGGGTTGCATAAATCATAAAAGCAATATCAGTGAAAATAAAGTTTACTTTAATAATATTTGCTTTCTTTTTCTGATAAAAGCTGCACCTTTTTGTTCCACAATGATATTGAGACAAAATTGTGTTAGGATACATTGACTTTTTTCACGATTATCGCAAATTTAATAGAACAATTCTCATCAGGTTGGAAAGAGAACAGGAATAAGATATGCCTTAATAAATAAATAACAACACTAAATAAATAAATCACAACAACATGATATCAATATAAATTGAAAATATTGAATAAAAAACAAAAATATCACAGCCATATTGCCATCAAACGATGGTTAACAAATGAGCCGCGTCACCACAAAACCAACGTAATGCGATTGCGACCAGCGTGGATCCAGACCAGCCTGCGCGTCCGCGCAGTCTGATCAGGATCCATGCTGTTCGCTTACAAACTCTATTACAAATAGAGAAACTGATAGCGAATAGCATGGATCCTGACCAGACTGCGCTAACGCGCAGGCTGGTCTGAATCCATGCTGGTCGCAAACGCATTACGTTGGTTTGTCATGACGCGGCTCAAATGAATATATCAAAAAATGCTCTCCAAGTCACAATGTCAAATATATCAACTTTCGATTAATTTCTGGCTCATGATGCTTTCATATGATGGTGGTGGAACACTTGTGTCAAAAGACGGCGCTGAAATGTATGCATAAAAAAAATAATAAAAAAAAAGTATCAGAAAAAAATATATACATGTATATGAATTGTATCGGTATCTTTGTTTAACCATTATTTGTAATGTATTAGTTGTTCGTATGTGAATTTGCTCAAACAGCATAAAGCATTTTGCTTATTGCAACGGTAAACATATCCTTAGAATACTAGAAATGTAAACTTTATTTTTATATAGATGTCGGGGTTGTTCTTTTGTAGACAACAGGTAAAAAAGTCTAAAAGCATTTTAGTTGCTTCGGTACTAAAAAGTAGTTTAGTTAATGTGATACGTTAGCTTGTATTGATAGGAAAGAATTCAAACCTGTTTGCATGTTAACTGCCCCTGAAGACGTTTGGTACGCAACATGAGGCCGTGATGAGGTATTCTTACGACTTTTTAAATGGACAATGCCAAACAGGCAGCTACACATAACAACAAACGCTACAGGGATGAAAATAATACATAAAATGATTGTCAGGGAAACACCTAGGGCATCATTTACTGTCTCTGGCACTGGAACTGGAACGAATAAAATGAATCAACCAAAGATTATTACAAAATATTAGCAAATGATATTATTGATTAGGACTATCAAACTTGCATTTTCTTGTATTGCAATAGGAATTCTTCTTTATCTTATATCGAAACAAAATTAATAGCAGAATGAAAGCTTACATGCAAAGGATCGAGGGTTACATAACATTAGAACGACTAAAAACATTAGCTCAGGTAGTGATGATTTTTCTGCAAAGGTCTTATTCATTCGACATTGGTCTTATATTTATTGGATGTAAGACAGGGATAAGTAACGTGTAAACCAAAAGAAAAAGTTCAAGCGCCTATTTTAAATTAATGGCAGACCAATAACTTTTCTAAACATATTGTTAAATGTCCTTTATGCTAAAGAAATGCTTTTATTTTATTTCTCAAAAGCTCTATCTTTATTTTTGATGTAATATTATAGTTTCTAAAAACTTACTGAGTGGCCAATTACCATCTTAGTAATCTGCTGCTTTTGACAATAAGTACAGTTATAGTGAATTTTTATTTTGTATGGAAGTCAAAATACTTCTTTGTTTACATTTTGCTACTTAAATGACAATTTATTTCACATCTATCGCTACTTGTTTTGGGTAACAAGCATCTAACATTTTCTTAAACCATTATTTAAACATTCTAATATTCATGTTTGCCCTCTAAAGAAGAAAGTTATAATTTATTTCCGGCTCTATAACGAACAAGTTAAACTAAACCGTAAAGAACAAACATCGAATTTCAAGGTTACTCTTTTATTGTATGTAATTATCTGGTATAGTAGGCACTGAACTCTTTTTTCAACCACTTCATGTAAGACCGTACCTGTCATTACAGAGGTCCTTTAATATTCTTTGGACAGTAATTTAATAAAAAAATAATTTTTAATGCGATACTGAAAACAATGATAGGACAAGAATTTTGCTAAGGCAGTATTTCAAACAAGCAGTGGTAACACTTAAGAATATTATATTCAATCCTCGAGCTGTCTTGAATCCTCTTTGCTGTATCTTTAAACTAACAAACGATTCCAAATCAACATATGAAAGTTAATATATAAGTCTGAAGGTTACTTTAGTTTGATTATACATGCACTACATCATTTGTTTTTGCATTTCTAACGTATAGAAACAGAAGTTACTGTATTGTGATATAATTTTTTCTAAAATTGGTATAAACAAGGAAATACAGTGTCATATATACATTGTGGTTGAATATGTTTCTTTCTTATGGTCATCTACGGATCAAACTTTGAGGGTAACTTTAACTGGAATTATACCGTTGACTGGTAATCAATCCTAGCATAATCCATCTTAAAGAACTGAATTTTACTACCAGAGCACCTATCAAAAAATGTTTTACTAACCGTCTTTTAGGTACACTCGTAATTTTATGACATCAGACGTGTGACGCGAAGGTTTCCTAATAACAACAAATACCTTGTCTTGGTACTGGCTAGGACACCATTCTTCTTTTGTTATGTTATTGCACGACATTTTTCTCTGAAATAAAAAAAAACATACAAACACAACTTCTCGTCAGTATATAGTGTAAGGCTTATGAAAATCTGGAACCAATGATCACAAAGGACCAAAAAAATATAACAACACTGAAGTAAAGTATGGAGCAACATTTTACAGCCCCCGCACGGCACTTGACACCTGCTCTAGTACAGCATAAAAATCAATCTGGAAACGTGTAATCCCTCGGAAGCATTTTTTATCACAACAGAATGACATGAAAATTAAAGGCTCGGTTTGATTGAGTCTGTACATGAGAGATAATGGAAAAGTGAAACATCCCTCACGCCCCCTAGCACTGCCTTGAGCTGTACCCAATTTTCAACACTTCAGATTTCATTATATTTTTCGGTATGTTTCCACTGTCATATAGGATGGACATTTTAAATTTTGATAATTATATAAATTATGTTAATGTTATTACAGTCGACTCCATGTATAACGAACTCGCTTATAACGACTTATCGTTTATAGCGAATTAATCTGACATCCCCGGCCAATTCCTTCTTTATTTTATATAAATTCACATCGCTTTATAATTATTCGCTTAAAACGAACTTTCGGCTATAGCGAACAATGTTTTCAAGTCCCACACGGTGAAAAAGATGTAAATTTCCTCGGTTAAAACATGTAAAACAAACTGTTATAATTGAAATATCGGGATGCTCTCGATTAAGATCAGTACATGAATACGCTACCCGAAAATTATTTTATTGAATGATTTCACAGGTATTTGAGTGCCTCATAGTTCTCCAATAATGAAATACGTGCTAAACTTATGTACTTCTGTGTTGGTATATAGATATGGTAATGTTTAAAATGATATATATGACCTTATCATATGTCTTAACACGAGTTTGCTAAAAAATGGCAGCATTTTGACCTGCGATTACTTAAGAAATATTAAACAAATGTCATACCTCGGGTTGGATATGATTTTTAACAAAAGCCTCGTGGTATTCGAGCAATGTTCCACAATCCAAACTTATGTCATCGCCATATATACAGAGATACTGCTTAAATGAGGTTTTAGTGAACTCCACGTGACAAGGGTTGTCGCTTAATTCATAGGAGCCGTCATGAATTACATCTGTATTCTTGTAGTAATCCATGTCATATTTCTCCCCGCATGTTCTTCATGTAATTGTTATGGAATAACCTGTCAAAGACAAATATAGATAAGTGTTTTTATTTATTAAATATTAAATCCAAACGTACACAAAAACTATGTCTTTTCTTTGCAGATTGTAAACAAGTAAATATTCCTTAGCCTTTGATTTTCAACTTATTTTTTCTCGGCTTTTAAATTTGTGAGATTAAGCAAAATCATTTGACATAAGTTTACAAAGAAATCGAAAACATGCTATTCGACATCTTAGAGTAAATTTGGCCTCTTCCACAATTCCGTACAAACGCGAATAACAGCTGCATCTGCTGTACAATATTACATGTTATTTACTGCATCAAACTAATTCAATTAACTGTTTTTATTACTTTTCATACGACGAAGAAACGATTACACTTAAAGAGTCATCTTTTTGCATTTGAACGGAAAAGGTATACTATACTCGTAATATATAGACAGGCACTTTTTCAACTGATGTAAAAATTACAGAATAAGATACTAACAAATCGTTAAACTGAAGTAAGCACAATCGACATACCTGATTGAAACGCAGAAAATATATAAGATATGAATATCCAAATAGCCGCAAGGTTTGCTCTTATGTCTGTACACATACAATATGTTGAAAGATTCATTATTGGAGTTTCAAAACTGAAGATAAATTGCAAAACAAACATTACGTAAAATAATGTAACTTTGAAATACACGATGTTAGAAAGCAATAATCATTGGTGAATTATGAGCTGATTATCCTTAATAAAATTTTCATAACTTTTGTAGTTCCAACGTAGACTCCTCCTGTACAATATTCTGAGACGGTATCACTTTATTTCTCATCATCCATGAATTTCCCCTACAAACTAGCCGTACTGATTAAACTTAATAAAACTGGCATGATATTGTCTTGAGCTTTAAATCATTTGCAGCATTTTTGTTAGGACACCTTGCAAATTTACTCATGTAAAAAGTTAATAGCCAATATTTATGTTTATACTGTATAATTAATAAGGCCCAACCGGCCACTTCCGCGACAATTGAAAACAAATAAAGTTATAGTAGAAATTAAAATATGGTATGCAGAAAAATAGTGTTGAACAATTTTTCTATACGGTCCGAACGCTTAAGCAATTCTATTGATTAACATTGGAAATCAATTGGAAATAACGGTAGAGCTGTGTCAATGTCGTATTCGTGTGCTCCTATATATTGCTTAATTATACATTTTCACTTTATTTATCGATTGTTAAGACTCTGCTTTTAATTTACATTGCATCGATTTTCAGGGTTAAATAATTCATCAAATAGAGTATGAAGATACATAAAAACCCACATAAAACTAGGCTTTTCTATCGTCAAAACAAAAGACATCCATCAATCATATCTAATTGATCTATCAGAACAACAAAACACAATCATCTCAGCATTCAATTCAAATATAAGAAGAAAAATATGACACATATATTGAGAATGAAAATACCTGTGAAAGCTACAATTTGTCCCTAGTAATTAATCCTTTACAACATACGGTAACATTCATCCTTAACTAGAAAATGTGCCATAGAGTAGATTTTAAAATAATTTATATGGTTCATAAATAAGCGAAAGAAATTGAGAACAGTGAATCATGACAGGCTCGAAATAGATAAAATCAATTTCAACTGTATACGCAGACTAACAATCATACATTCTGTGTGGATTTCTAGAGACATTTATGTTAAAGTTTTTAAGTACGTATTTACAAAATTAAATTGGCCTGACCAATTTAATTTTGTATATACGTACTAATAAACTTTTGCATGCTTAGTGTTTCAAATTATTTTATTAACAGTCGATTTACTGGACTGATCAACAGTTAGCCGATCTACCAAAGTAAATGTGTGTTACGATTCATTTGAAATACTGCAATTCTAATCGACTTGTTTCTTGTGGCGGTTAACTTGGAAGCTTCAATATGACATGTCCATGCCATTTCGTGACACAATTTTCTAAAATTTAACCATGCTCACGCTATAAATGAGAAAAGAAATGCACCAGACTTAAAATGCAATTTATTTTGAAAGGGGATCATTAACAATGTAAAAATGCAAACAGTGACGCCAGTCGTGAAAAAACCCACTCTTTTTTTTAAGAAAACTAAACTCTACAAAAATATTTTCACCAAGTTTTACCAGCAAAGCAATGCGAATTTTTGCTGAAGAAAAACCTCAAAATGCCCATAGGCAGAAACGAGCACCTGAGTAGAACCAACGTCACGTAACCTTGCTGGATTGATTCATCACACGAAAGAATCAAAAGTTCCTGACAGAGTCTAACCCACAGCATGAGGGACAAATAGTTTCGAGATACATACACCTCCGTCAAAACAGGTAAAAAAGAGAATATGTTAAAGTATGGACACCTCTTAAAGTAATGAAAACAAAACTAAACCAGGTGGAGATTTGCAGTATCTGTTTGATCAGATCCGTCAATGAAAGAATGAAAATGAAACAACAGGATTATCTCACGTCTCCTTTCATCATTTTTCAGCACTATTTAATATTCCATATAGAGTAACACAAGGTGTGTATAGTAATCAGTTATTATGACGGACCAGAAAATTCAACGAACTGAAAAAGAGAAGGTCGATACTCTACGCCAATTCGTGGACCAGAAGATAGCAAAATATATCTGAACGAAATGAGAGGATAAAAGTTGCAACTCACATTAATTGATGCTGAATATTAAGTGTGAAAGTACTGGTACTGACACTAATGTACGATTGTAGTCGGTGAAATCGAAAAGTCATACTGTTGTTGCTAAAAACGATATAAGTCGATATTTGTATAAAAGGTAAAGGTCTTGTTTATTATAGTGTCACCCCTACTGAAAGGGCCAGCCATTTCTGACTTATGAGACACCTTTTGCTTGCATACCATGTACCTCCCAACTCCTAACACTATGCCAGGCGCCAGGCGGATAGAAATCGGTAACCATTCATTTAACTACCTCGCGGCTCACGAAGCGGCCATTTCGGAAAGAGTCCCACGAGAAACATTCATCCTTCAATTAACGCTCCCCGTGGGGCTCGAACCTTCGACCTCCCGATCCGAAGGCGGACGCCTTAACCACTAGGCCAACGGTATATTTATGCACTTTTGTGCATTCTTAGAAAATATTGATATTCTTTAATAGTTTAATAGTCAATACTAATTCAAAAAAAGTAATTTGTATTGTAAACCTTTATTTTTGTAATAAAAATGTGCTATAAATATATACAAAAAAATAAAACCCTCATAAAACTAATAATTACACACAGGATAAATAAAATAAATGGATAAATAAGGATAAATAAAGGATATAATCAAAGGATCATAAATAAAACACCACAAAACATTACTTTTCATCAGTTAACATTAAAGACTCAGACTACAATGTAAATATCAATTTCTGACATATAATGGACAACGAAGTCCAATTTAAAAAGAAAAGCAATAACAATATCAAAACAGAAGGTAAGCAATCACAAGTTTTTCATTTAATATCAATAAAGTATCATTATATTTACGTACTAAATCAAAAAATTGAATCATCAACATTTGTTCTTTATTCAAACATTTTAAAGATAAACAGATAAAAATGATAACTCATGTAACAGTTTCATTTTGATTTGTTAAAATTCATGAAATTTTTGCATATTCGGTCTCTTCAAATAATATTTATTTATATGTTCTTTTCACAATCATTTTACACGGGATATTCCAAAAAGGAATAAAATTCATTTCCTAATTCAGAACAAATATTACAATATATTACAGGTTTATACAATGTCTTCAATGCTTGTCACATGAACAGAATCACCTTACGTATGATAAATATGTAAAACGCTAGAATATTTCAGTATCTGTCCAATTTTTATCACGATTGGGAATAAGGCTAATAATTGATTAAATACATTGTTTTTGTGTCAAGAAAACTCCATAGAAAAATATTGTAGCATCTGTGTATTCTAAAAAAAACTAGAACTCCGCGAGTCAGATGTGTCGCCTTGTGAACAATATACTTTAGGAGAAATGGCCGGACAAAAATGAAATTTGAAAATCAACAAAGGCCAATAACTCAAAAAATAAGAAATGCAGAGCAGCAATTTCTGTGCACTTCTTATCAATAACATCTATCATCCTATTAAGTTTCAAGTCTTAAGCTTTTATAATTTATGAGAAATGGCCTGGACAAAAATAAAGTATGAAAATTAACAAAGGGCAATAACTCAAAAAATAAGAAAAGCAGAGTACCAGTTCTTGAACACTGCACTTCTTCTTAAGGAGATCTATCATCCTATGAAGTTTCATGTCATAGCTTTTATACTTTAGGAGAAATGGCCTGGACAAAAAGAAAGTATGAAAATTAACAAAGGGCAATAACTCAAAAAATAAGAAGTGCAGAGTACAGTTCTTGTGCACTGCACTTTTCTTAATAAGATCTATCATCCTATGAAGTTTCAAGTCCATAGCTTTTATACTTTAGGAGAAATGGCCTGGACAAAAATAAAGTATGAAAATTAACAAAGGGCAATAACTCAAAAAATAAGAAGTGCAGAGTACCAGTTCTTGTGCACTGCACTTTTCCTTAATAAGATCTATCATCCTATGAAGTTTCAAGTCCATAGCTTTTATACTTTAGGAGAAATGGCCTGGACAAAAATAAAGTATGAAAATTAACAAAGGGCAATAACTCAAAAAATAAGAAGTACAGAGTACCGGTTCTTGTGCACTGCACTTCGAGTCATAATAAGAAGCATGCATACCAAGTTTGAAGTCAATCTGACTTATAATAACTGACTTATGCTCCGGACAAGCTTAAGGGGACGCCGACACCGACAACGACGCCGACACCGACGCCGACACCGCCGAAAAAAGTAACCCCTAAATGTCGCCTTTTTCAAGGCGACACAAAAACGATCAAATGTTTTCTAAATAATCCCGAATAAACTTGCTTGAAATGATAATAAAACTTAATTTAAAAGCCACCATAGAGTAGCATCATTTTACATCAAACAATTTTTAAGTTCTTGTGCAAAAATCGTATCATTTTCTCAATGATTACGCTGTCTTTTAAACAAAATATGTACGCTTTTTACATTACATGTATAATGGAAGGGATAATCGAGTTAACCTAGAACGGTCAAGTTCTTCAATGTTTTTGGTGATAACCTTTCATACGGTGGTGGTGGAGCACTAGGGTCAATCGGCGGCGCTGAAAAACAAGCGAGATACGTATCTGAACATGAGGTACAGGAACATTTATTTAAATCTGGAGCCTATAAAATAAGATCTAAATTTAAAATATGGTCAAAAAGATTCCTTTAAGCAAACATTGATTGAGCTGGTTCATGAACGGCAGTGGTAGTAGCGATTGATTGCAAGCAATCGTCCACGACCCAAAGGTTAAGACATTGCTGTATTACTATTATTTTAAAATTTGACAAAAAAAAAATAGAAATCAATTTTCATAGCGACGGAACGAGCATAATTATTTGCAAATGAAATAGGATCAAGTTTGCAGTAAGATTTCTGGATCATCTGTAGTTTTAAAAATTTAAAGAGCAATAAAAAATTTTTTTGCATAAAACATTACCTTTGAGTACTCTAAAATAGAAAATTAGAAAATAAACAAAAATGTATTTGTCCATTTTGTGCAAGAATTTGTAGCAGAACGAAGGTAAAATAACTGTTTATGGATGTGCAACCTAATTGACCTCCTCATACTTGACTAAGTTAGCAAAGGGGAAAAGATCAAGGCAAAACTCAAACATGAGGGGACCCGATATTCATGCCCAAAAAATTGAAAAGCCCTATCCAAAAAAAATGAGAATAAAAAATATGAAAATTGTCCCAATTGTTAAAATTTGTTATTTTCCCCCTGTTTGAGAATAAGGATTCTGACTGACAGCTTGCACTGGATACGCACTTTGCATTGGATGAACATTGTAATTTCCTTGAAGTCCGCTTTGCTGTATCGGTATCGGTTGATATGGCAGAGGATTGTGTTGTGTTGGATTCATTTGACCTAGTTAAAAAGTAAAATAATGTTGAATCCTTTTAGATCACACAACTGTGTTATTCATGTCTTTAGGGTTAAATCATCTTGACATAAGCTAGTACGTATGCATCTCTCCTGCACTATAATACTCATAATCATGTCATGTTCCATAGTGCACATTAAGAAATAAAAACCCTAATATATGTATATACATGTTGACTTGTCATTCTTTTTGAATATAGCATGTATGACTAATTAGCCTGTGCAACCAGCTATACGACAATACCTCCATTACTTATAAAAAAAATATTTAAAAAAAAAGTATCGAACAAGTTATTATTTAATATCAAACATTTCAAAACTCGTATTTTCAAACTCGTTCTAACAAAATTATAAAAATCTAAAATCTAAAAATCAACTTGACATCTGTTTTTACCCCTAAGGTAAGGATGTTTTACATCAACCTTTTGTTAACCTTTTGTTACTTTATTCTCAAAGAAAAATCGCCGAAGGTAATATCCGGTCAGAGATGTCCGGTCAGAGATGTTATCTAATGACTTTTTATTAGTTTATTTTTAAAAGAAAAAAATCACCTTAAGTCATATAATCTCTGATTGGTCAATTGTATATCGTGCGTAACCTTTTTGTTTTGAATTCATTTTAATAGAAAAATTTGGATAGATACAATGTAGCACAGGTAAGTTTTACTTTTGATATTAGTTTTAAAAGTTTTGAATAAGTAAAATAATAATTATTGTTAAATGTTCGATTAATTTTTATGCAAAAAAAATACAAAAATAATATGTTAAAGTAACATCTTTATGCAAAAAAAATACAAAAATAATATGTTAAAGTAACATAAGGTAAATATTATAGCTTTATAAGTTTTTCAATAAATATTAAATTTCCTTTATTTCATCATAAAAAAAATAAAAAAAGTTAATTTCTAGAGATCAAGAAAACATAAAAAACAAACAAATAAGTTAACAATATTCAAAGAACAAATTATTTTTAAGAATATTAATTAGAAAAAACTTTAAGGTATAAAATTTAACAGAATTATATGTATGATAAGAGTAGAAAAGATATTTATATACGAAAAAGTTAAAAAAATATTATAAAACAATTGATAATTGATAAAATGTCCAGGTGTTTCATTTCCTGTAAAACGTGTATTGTGCATGCGCATTGAACACTTCCTGTGACACGTATATTTTTTGTAACAGGTACTTGCTGACATCAGTATGGCTTGGTCTTCGTGACGTGTCGGGAATTTCAAATCGTTGGTATGTAGCTTTCTAAAGAATAATTTTAAATTGACACTCATAATTGTTCATCATAAATGTTTGATGTTCTTGAAGATTCTTTTAAATTAATATATATGTATTTGATATGTGTAAACGTAGACTTTATACACAAGTTGATAAAGTTATATTCGAATATTTATTGGCACATCTGTAAACGCTGTTCTTGTTTCGTAGTTGTAAAAAGAATGTCTTGTATTGAACAATACAACAAAGTGATGATAGATCTATAATTCTTCATTTATGTAGCAAACGTTTTTGAGTAAAAGATAATTAAATTAATAGTTTACTGTTGCACGATTCTCGCAAATGTTTATGTGATATTTATTTTGGATATCTCTGTCGCGCACAAATTATTATTTTGATAAGAAGTTGTCATCAGTATTTCTCTGGGTTTTTGTTTTTAAGTTTATATAACACATAGAAAAACACATTCTATTGATAAACGGAAGTTTTCGGCTTCTCTGGTTGAAGACAGGAATAAAAGTTTATTTGATTCCACAATTTTGTTGTTGTTGTTGTTGTTTACGGCTGTAACAGCATAGTTATGTATCTAAAACATCGTAGACGGTTATTTCATATAATTTTACATCGAAGAAGGTGTTTTATGGTTATATCTGCATGGTTTTACATCGAAGAAGGTGTTTATGGTTATATCTGCATGGTTTTACATCGAAGAAGGTGTTTATGGTTATATCTGCATGGTTGTACATCGAAGATGGTGTTTATGGTTATATCTGCATGGTTTTGCATCGAAGAAGGTGTTTATGGTTATATCTGCATGGTTTTGCATCGAAGAAGGTGTTTATGGTTATATTTGCATGGTTTTTTGTTGTACATAGTTTGACATTGTAGAGCTGACTGTAATATTTCTAGTCAGGCGGTGTTTGACTGTACCGGCGAATTCGCTCGCACCTCTCTGTCTTGGCTGGACGACAAGTGATCGTTAGACCAATATTTTGCATTTCGTCCGTTGTCAGATCGGTTAATAGATATTATATACAATAAACATAATTTTGTTTTTTTCAGATATTTGAACAACAAGACAACTGTCATAAAATGCATAGGATAAGAATTCCAATGAAAGATGTTCTCTAGTGTAAGTATCTTATTTATGTAATACTTGATATTTAACAAATTTTTACTTTTCTAGACATATTTTGTTAGTTTTTAACTAAGCTATTAACTTTAGTTTATTTCGACAATAAGACTTATCCCAATTTAAACTTTATTTAATGATTGTGCGTTGACAGTTGAAACATGTATGTATACACATGTTATTCTAATATGAAATAAAGTAAATAATCAATTTGAAACTCATGATTAAGTGCTGTCATTTACTTTGAAATGCATTTTTAATTAACCGATCTATTAATAAACATATAGCGAATAACGATTCATTTTAAGCAATATAAAAAAAATCTAAGATATATAGTTCTAATAAAAGCAAGTTGAAACTTGATATAAATGAATACAACCACCAAAAAGATATATGATTAAATAATGTAATTTTCTGTTTTGTTTTATTATCGTTTCTTGTAACATATATAAATTTTTTTTCTATAATAACTATTTACAATGCCTGAGGTCAATTTACCGAAAATTAGTATAGCACATAACAACGGAATATAACTTTCTATAGCATACTGGCTAATCCTTGTAAAAACATTTTAACATTCGGTTTTTCAAGCGTTTATTATTATTATGTACCTTTGTGTTTACCTTACCAGATACTTTATATCGTGGTTTTACAATACTTTTCTTTTTAGTAGAAACAGAGTTTATAAACATTTCATTATCTGAATTGTTATCATCAGCCATTGAATCTGACTGAGTAGCATTATATGCTGCTTGTGACTGAGGATTGCTATTTACTTGTATGGAATTTGAGTCTGATAATTCTGAATCAGTCTGCGATTGCATTTCTTCTGAATGTGCATTACTTTGAGCATTTTCATTATTTTGAAATTTGTTGTTGTTGTCGAAGATGTTTCTGTAATTCGGCTAATGGAATATCATCTTCACTATCAGAATTTGACCTTTCTTTTCTAACATTTTTAGCAACTTGGGGTAATACTGATTCTGGTATTTCTGAAGCATCATCAGTATCGCTATTTTCAGGTGTTGTAACTACAAATGTGGCATTTCTCTTTTGGTCTGCCAGTATTATCTGCTTTTGGTATTGACCAGTCATTAAATATTTGCAAGCCTAATTTGTTCTGCATGGACTTTAACTGTTGAATTGTCAAATTGATTTTTTTATTATATAAGTTAATGGTGACCTTTTTCTCCATAATTCTATTAAAATGGCTTCCAATTCACATCTAGTTTGCTTCTCTTACGAAAAATTCTTATAGAATACGGGATCGCCTATTTTCAAATTTGATATCTTTTGCGGTCTTATCTGCATAGCTAGCTTGTTTCGCGTTTTGCTTTTTTAAGGTTTTTATAAACAGATAGAAAAGTATTATGTTGTTTTCTTGTAATGCAATTTTGTGATATTTTTCGCCATGATAGCGTTGCCTTGGTTGTAGCAACAGGTCCACCGGGAGGATTGGATCACGGTTATATAGCAAATAAAATGGACTATGCTTTGAAGTCCTAGAGACATTGAATCTAAGTGCGGCTAGTGTCCATGTTAAGATGAATATCCCATTGTTTGAGATTTCCTTGGATTCTTTTAGCTAAGATATCATGTATGACATGGTGAGAACGTTCATTTTTTAGCGTTTCCGGCAGCATGATAGGTAGTTGTACGCACGTATGATCAATTCTTAACTCTTTAAGTGTTTCTTTGAAAGCATTACTTTGTGAATTCTGATCCATTGTCAGTGACAATTTGTAATGGACATGCGTATCTAGGGTAAATTTCTTCTAATAGTAAATGTATAATTGTATCAGTACTTTTGTCAGCAGTAGGGAAACACTCGGGATAACCATTGTAAAGGTCAATAAAACAAATAATGTAGCGGTTACCACTCATTGTTTTTTCATATGGCCCTATAACGTCGATACTCATGGTCTGGAATGAATACATTGGTACTCTTGTTTCGCCCATAGGTGCTTTTATTTTTGTAAGATTACGTGACTGACAATCAACACATTTAGAAACATATTCATACAATTCTTTGAACATATTTGGCCAAAAATATTTTTGTTTTTATTGTTTGTAAATAACCTCTGTGTTCCTGGGTGACCATTATTTAAATGATATTGAGTAATGACAAGGTGTTTTAAGTGTTGCGGAACAAACAATCTAAGATTAGGATTATCATCTACATTAGACAGATAATAAAGAACTTGGTCAATTTCTAAATATTTGCTCTGCACTGATTTAGTTGGCTGTCCGTGACGTAGTAACATTTTCAGTTCAAGAATAGTTTGATCTTTATCTTGCTCTGAGGCCATATTTAATTTTTCGACTTGTTTAATATCTTCTACAATTGGCTCTTGAAAATTGGTATTCTTTGTTTGCTATTTCTTTGGCATTAAAGTGCGTAGAATCAAAAGCATTTACTTCATAGCTTTCATCAGTTTTTCACAGCATGTGTATTATCATTATTTGAATTATTACTTGAATTTGAGACTGTTATTTCGAAGGCATTGTCATTTATATCAGGCTCATAAAGTTCAATATCGGACTTGTTAGCATTTTTATCATCAGCTGGAGGTCTAGAAAAGAAATCGGCAATTAAATTTAATTTTCCTGGCAAATATTCAATT